GTCAGGCAGCTGGTATGCAGAAGATTACTAAGAGTGACCCCAGATTCCAGTCGTGTTTATATATAACTGTGCATTTACAAAACCCTTATAAAATAATTCCATTTTCCCAGGAAGACACTACACATAACAACACCTGCAGTCAGAACACATCTTACATTCCTAAATCACAATTAAACAATTCAGTTCGTTGAAGACTATCATGAGGCCAGAATTCCATTTGCATGGCTCCACTTTTCCTGTCTGAAACCACAGCGTGTCCTTCGTTCATTCTAACACAGTCGGTACGCTTTCTCTCCATGCACGCAGGTAAGACGTCGTGAAGCATGACCTGAGAGGAAGTGTTACACACCTGTCAGTCGGGGGTTATACTTAGAAAATTTCCAAGGTGCTGTTGAAGTAGACTTGTCATCAAGTGGTAGAAACTGGAAATATTATTGGAACTGTTGTGTTTTAGTAAGTAGATGGTTAATTCCCTTTCAGCAGGCAATCACATGGCTGATTACATTATTCTGAGCAATCTTACCAGGTGTGGTGGGAATGTACTCCACACACTGTACCGTGTGCAACTTCATTCTCTTGGCAATGCGCTGAGGCCACTGTGCAAAACAGCAAGTGGGATGAAGTTGAGTGTTAACCGGGAATCAATGCTTTGTATAGTTCCTTTCTGGGAACAGTAATGCTCATCTTTGTCATGGGAATGGAACATCTCATTTTTAAAGTGAAGTGCTAAATATTTTAGGGACAGGCCATAACACTTCAATGACTAGGATAATCAAAATGGGTCTGACATTTATTCGGATATTAGCCAATCAATGTGCAAAGAGGAAGGAGACATGGTAAAGCCATACATAGAAACACCTTTTCCCACTTTAACATTTATAATATCCATATGTAATACCATATTTCATTTTTAAAGATGGAGACAGCAAAAATACTCACATTTCAACCTTTCACAGAAATCATTTTTCAGAAATCAATCATACTAAGTTAGCAGGAGAATCTTGGAAGAAATTCTTGGGAGACTGATCCATCTGAGGGTTTCTTCTCAAAATACAGATGAGAAATGTAATTAAAGAGGCCTCCGGTGGGCTCCTCCTCTGTGGTCGCCCCTCCGTCTGAATCACAGTTCACAGGGAACGCTAATGCTCTGGCGAAATCGAAATGCCAAGTTCTCAACAAACGTCTACATCGAGAATCTCTGGTTCCCGCCCAGCTGCTGGTGATACTACAGAAGTGTTCAAGGGTAAGATGATCACGGTCGCCCTGTCTTGACACAGTGTCCTCATGAGAAGGCTACCAAGGAGACATCAAACCCGGGCGTGCAAGGCTCTTTCCACCTGCTAGCGGGTGGCATTGCTCACTTTCTAGGCCAGACACCAACCACAGGGGGGAGCTCTGTGAGCCAACTTTGCACTCCCAACCGCAACATGGGCACGCAGGCTCCTCCCCCTCAGGCCCAGGCACAGTGCCCGAGGGAAGTGTTAGGAACAGTGGTTCACCACACCTTAGGGAAGTGTTAGGAACAGTGGTTCACCACGCCTTAGGGAAGTGTTAGGAACAGTGGTTCACCACGCCTTAGGGAAGTGTTAGGAACAGCGGTTCACCACGCCTTACTTTCCACTGCAGAATTAGTCAAGGCGTGGGCAACCCTGCGCTCCTCATCCCTAGCAAGAAACTTCTCCAAAGTACAAATAAAAGATGACTCTGCTTTCTGGAAGACACATGACGACCCCCTGTCCTGGACGTCTCCTTCCCACCCTACGTGGGTTCCTTGTATTTTATTTCAAAAATCAAGAAGCTATGATTTGTGGCAATACTTCTAATTAACAGGTGCTGATCAAGAAACTAGAATTGCGTTTCCTCTAGGAAGACCTGGGAAGTAGCATCTGTGAGGACAAACACAGAAAGGTGCTGGCAAGGTCTTACTCCACTGGAAGAGGCAGGCGCCGGGGACCCCACGGAAGCGGCTCATCAGCACCTCACTGTGTTGAGGGCTTCGGAAAGCACCCTCTGTCCAGGGCACAGTCCCGAACTCCCCACTGTGGCTCCCAGGACGTGATGACGCAGAGGTGTAGGCAGATGGGGCTCCCACAGGCCCCAGACTGTTTGTCCATGTCCATTTGGTGTCTTGTAAACCACAGAAAGAGAACGGAGCTCTGACACCGTGGACTCCTGGCACGGAGGGGAGGTTCTCTCTGTTTCCCTCCCGTGGAAAGACGCGTTCCGGCACCGTCGGGCTGGGGAAGCAGAACTGACTTGTTGCTCTTCTGGCGATGAGGAAATCCTAACCTTGGATTCCTAGCTGTGAAACTCCTGTTCATCAGCAACTAGTCCAAACCAGAACACGTGTACAGGGTCCCGCACAGCCCCACCAGACATGTAGGGGTCGGCGTCCAGGGCCTTTGACCCCACGGCAACTTGCCTAAGACAAACACAGCCGGTTAAGACTCATACTCCAGCTGGCACTGCGGCACAGCGGCTAAAGCCGCGGTCCGCAGCACCGGCATCCCATATGGGCTGCTCCACTTCTGATCCAGCTCCCTGCTAATGGCCTGGAAAAGCAGCGGAGGAGGGCTCAAACGCTTGGGACCCTGTACCCACATGCGATACCTGGAAGAAGCTCCTGTCTCATGGCTTTGGCCTAGCCCAGCCCTGGCCTTTCCAGCCACTTGGGGAGTGAACCAGGGGACCGAAGATCTCTCTGTTTCTCTGCCTCTCTGTAACTCTTTCAATCAATCAATCTTAAAAAAGAAAGAATCATACTCACCTTAGAAAGAGTATGGCCGGCAGTTTCACTGTAATGAGTCAGGCAGGACACAATGTAGAGCTAGTCAATCAGTGTTTTCCAGTGCTACTTATTTTTCCATTTTACATGTTTTTCAGATGTCTGACAAAGGCAAGAACTGCTGACATTAATAATGTGAGGGGAAATGTGGAATATAAAGACCAGCACAAATGCATTGGCAGAGAGGGAAAACACAAGAGGAAAATGTTAAATGTTCTTATTCTAAGAAAAAAGGACCAGGTTAAATGATTCAAAAACCTAGAAAAATAGGCCGGCGCCGTGGCTCACTAGGCTAATCCTCCGCCTTGCGGCGCCGGCACACCAAGTTCTAGTCCTGGTCGGGGCACCGGATTCTGTCCCGGTTGCCCCTCTTCCAGGCCAGCTCTCTGCTGTGGCACGGGAGTGCAGTGGAGGATGGCCCAGGTGCTTGGGCCCTGCACCCCATGGGAGACCAGGAGAAGCACCTGGCTCCTGCCATCGGATCAGTGTGGTGCGCCGGCCACAGCGTGCCAGCCGCGGCGGCCATTGGAGGGTGAACCAACGGCAAAGGAAGACCTTTCTCTCTGTCTCTTTCTCTCTCTCACTGTCCACTCTGCCTGTCAAAAAATAAAAAAATAAATAAAATTTAAAAAATTTAAAAAAATTAAAAAAAAAACCTAGAAAACTATTCAGACATAGTGCCCTCCATCCAGTGCATGGGAAATTGTTTGGATATAAAGATTAAGTAAAAAAACTTACACTAAGTTTTCAATGATTTCTGACAATTAAAATCTGAAATAGTTATTTTTAATCTGGATCCCAAGAAAGAAAAAGAAATACGTGCTTATAAAGAATTAATGACTAAACTTTGGAAAAAAAAAATTTTACTTACCTTGTTTTCGACCAAACAGGTTAGAAAGATGGAGCCAGCATGCTTTCTCAATCTAGCTCACCTCCAAAGAGCAAAATTAGGCTCAGAATTCTTTGTGAAAAGGACGGATACCTCTCAGAAGGCAGACAGAGACACGCGAGGTCGACGGCAGGGTGGAAGATTTGCAAATCCCAGCACTGTGGGACGAGGCGCAGCCAGGGCACTGCCCACTGCGGGACCGCAGCTTCGCTTATTCTGGGTCCTTGCACGTGTCTGCAAGCAGCGCAGTCTCCATGTCGCCCCGCCGGAGTCAGGGCCCTTTGTCCCGCTCTCCTCGCCAGGCCACCGGCCCCGGAATGCTGCCGCACCCTTGCTTGGCTGCGGTGCGTTTTACTCTGGTTCTGAGCTGCAACGTGAGTTTCACTCAACCTCCTTTTCTCCCCCGAGCAGCTCTGCCCCATTTCCCTGCCCCGCACGGGCGGCCCCTTTATCTCGGAAGCCGCACACTGCAGCGGAGCTGAGAGCAGAAGTGGTCTGGGACCAGGAAGCAGCAGGTGCTCGGCCTCAAAGGCAGAGAGGACCGCTCCGCCCTGCGCGCAGGGATGCTCTCGCGATCTCTGCCCCGGGATACGGAGCCCGAGGCTGGCTGACCTTACCTGTCGCATCGCACTTTAACACAAAGCATCAAGGTACCCTGCAGGGTCTAAAGCCACGGCGTTCACACTTTTTGACTGTTTGGTGTCTGTATGTATAATCACACACACACCCCATCTGGAGATGAGGCGCCGCAGCCCTTCTGGAAGCCCTACCTCCCAGAGGCTAGGAGCTGTGCAGGCATCGGCTGCCAGGGCGCAGGGTGGCTCAGAGACCGTGCCGCCGGGCACCCTCCTGCGGCCCCAGGCGGGGAGTGGCGGGCTGCAAATTGACCTTGAGTATTCCTGGTGAGACGCGACAGACTCGGGCAAACCCTTCTGTTATCTCTTTTGAGCTTTATCACGTGCAAGAGGAGGAGGACAGCCCCTGACACTTCCTTGCCTATGGTCTAAGTCATCTGACCAAGCAGGAACTGCTGTAGCATCTAAGACAGACAAGAGCTCCGTTTGGAGTAGCTATTGCCGAGAGAGAGAGAGAGAGAGAGAGAGAGAGAGAGAGAGAGAGACACCACGGGAGGCCTGCGCAAACTTGTGTTGGTTTGCAGTGTTTTTCTCAAGTAAACCGTACAAAACTACTTTGCGTGAAGGTAACCAACATAAAAAACAGCAACTCGAGCTGGACAGAGATGAGGCCCCGCTCCCCTCTGGTTCCCGCGGCAGCACAGGCCGACGCACGGGGCGGCTTGCATCGGATGCGATTTCACGAAAGCTCTGAAATAAGCCATTTTATTCCTATCCATGATTGCAGACATTTACAAAACCATAACATCTGAGTTCACCTTAAAAAATAACTTATATAAAGCAGTGATATACACAGCACAAAATAGTTCAGGGAGGGGGCGGGAGCGACTTTTAATAATTAAAATGTAAACGTGAAAAAAAGGATGGAATAAAAGTCCCTACTTATCGCTACGTAAGATGCCACGTGATCGTGTTCGTGAGTGTCCTGTGGGTCACCGCACGCATGTGCCTATGTCCGTTTACCATACACGTGGACAGCACATCCGCCGTCCCACACACAGACACACACAGGGCATGATTTGCAGTTCCGCGGCGGGCAGTGCGAGTCTGCCGCTCCGGACGGTTGTTTGAATCACGTTTGGACCCGCTTTCTTCACGAGAGAGGGGAGAGAGCAGGAAATAAAAAGGTCGGCTTGGTGTGACTGAGATTCCTTGGTTGACTGCACGCTGTGATGAGTAATTATCTTCCGTAGTGGTTCCGCGGAGGGCCGGCTCCCCGCGGGGTCCGCGGGCTCACACGCTCATGGTCATGCTCGGGGAGTACTGCGGGGAGAGAGGGAGCCGCGTCAGCAGCGGTTCTGCCAAGGCCGGGGCCCCCGGGCTGCATGCCAGTGCTCCTCACTTCCTGCTGCAGTGTGGAACCTCACACAGCAGAGCATACAAACCCACACAGGGGGTCCCTGCATCCAGACGGGCTCCTCCCTCTGCAGTGGTACCAGGTTCTCTCGGTCTGCACGCACACCCTGCACCTCTTCCTTCCAGGCAGAGGGACGCCTGGTGGGCGAGAGGGCAGACCCCGATCTACCCCTCGCTACCCAGGGCTTCCCCATTGCTGCTGTCTCACCTGGACAACGAGTTTACCGGCAGTGCCCACCTTACAGGGTTAAATACTGAGTCCTCAGCTGTGTGTGTGTGAATAAATACACAGTGCTGCACGAGTGTTAGGTTCACAGCGTGGGAAACCACACAGCCACTCCAAGAGTGCTCTCCCGGAGCTGGGGAGTGTCCTCAGGCTGTGGGCTGCAGCTGAGCACACAGGCCCCTGGCCCCGGGGGACTGCCAGCCCAGCCCCCTGATTTCAGCTGGGAAGAGGGACTCTGTTGCTAGCTCACTGCACGGATGAGACGGGGCAGGGCTCTCAAAAGCCATCCAGAGCGGGGAGGGCAAGCAATCCTTTTGCTAATTAGGCTGGTGAACTTCATATGCTTGGGGACAAACTGACAGGAACCTCCCAGGGAGCACTGCACAGACCCTGGACCGTTTACAATGTTTACAAAGGCCGGGAGTCCGGCCATTGCGCAAGCTGTCACTGATGGGGCTTGCTGGGAAGAGGGGCAGAGTCAAAGGGCTTGGCCCCAGGCTGAAGAGAGCCTGGAGGGGGCACCCAGTGTGTAAGCAGGAAGGGGCAGAGTGTGGGCTCAGCTGGCAGGCTTCGGGGCCATCCGGGGTCAAATCAAAGAATGCCACATTCTGAATAAAGGTGGGTACGCAGGTCTGGAGACAGGATGACTGGACCCCAGGGGCAGGACCGCAGCTGCTCTAACAGGGTCATGGTGATGAAAGCCATCTGTGGTTACTTAGGTCGGGATGACCAAGCCACCTACTTGAGCTGGCAGTCGGGTTACAGTGAGGGCTGGGTGGTAAAAAGGGGAGAGAGAGGAGATTCGATCTGACAGACCAGTGTCTCCCCTTTACCCTTGATTATGGCAGCGAAGAAGCCAGGCAAGCCACGGCCAAGGAGCCCAACCGGCCCTGTGCAGGAATGGCGATGGCCGGCCGGCTGGCACAGGCTCAGGTCACAGTCTCAGCACACTCCAATCAACTCCCTACAGCCTGTGCCCGGGGAGACGTCTGTTGTGTTGCCTGATTCTCAGAGCAGGAACTGAGATCCTACTGGAGGCAGGAAACAACCAGGAACAGGGCAGAACAGGCACAGCAAGCTGTAATCCATGCTTGCTCCGGCTGCTGTTGCTTGTAAGTAATAAGAAACGGGGTGCAGCCCTGGTGACTGCTGGCCGAGGCTGCCCCGGGCACCAGCTGCCGGCCACAGGAGGCTGTGTGTCTCCCTTTCTGTTGGTAACTCTGTCTTTTAAACAATAATAAATAAAAATTACAAAAAAATTACTGAAAATTTTTTGTAATTATTACTTCAGTTCCTTCATACATCATGTAAAATTAGGGCATAGTGTTAAAAATATATGATGGATGGCTGGCACCACAGCTCACTAGGCTAATCCTCCACCTAGCGGCGCCGGCACACCGGGTTCTAGTCCCGGTCGGGGCGTCGGATTCTGTCCCGGTTGCCCCTCTTCCAGGCCAGCTCTCTGCTGTGGCCAGGGAGTGCAGTGGAGGATGGCCCAAGTGCTTGGGCCCTGCACCCCATGGGAGACCAGGATAAGTACCTGGCTCCTGCCATCGGATCAGCGCGGTGCGCCAGCTGCAGCGGCCATTGGAGGGTGAACCAACGGCAAAAAAAGACCTTTCTCTCTGTCTCTCTCTCTCTCACTGTCCACTCTGCCTGTCAAAAAATAAAAAAAAATTAAAAAAATATATAATGGTTGTCATTCTGATATACATTGTTAAAATGTATATATGTGAAATAAATAAAACTTCAGGAAATTCAAGGAAAACAAAAGTTTGTTTGGGTGCAAGAAATTCTGAAATCCACACATAAAAGGGTCTTTGAAAAGTTCATGTAAAACATGTATCACAAAAAAAATACGTGGATTCTAAAATCATTTGCATCCAAATTTATGTACCTTTTAATTACGAATTTCATTTAATTACAAATTTCCAAGAACTTCTGAAGCTCCACCCCCACATGCACTGTCTGTGCTTAAGTATTTTTATTGGTTGCTACCATCACTCAACACTACCAAATACATTTTCAATCTGTGGTGTTTCAAATGTTTAAGCAGATCTTACAGGAAAGTGATTTGTTGGCAACTCACTGGGAAATTAAAAGAGCTAGGTTTGCCCATGGAGGAAAGTGAGTGAAAAACTCAGACATAATAATAAAGAAATGGGGGGCCGGCACCGTGGCTCACTTGGTTAATCCTCTGCCTGCGCCCATATGGGATGCCGGATTCTGTCCCGGCTGCTCCTCTTCCAGGCCAGCTCTCTGCTGTGGCCAGGGAGTGCAGTGGAGGATGGCCCAAGTGCTTGGGCCCTGCACCCCATGGGAGACCAGGAGAAGCACCTGGCTCCTGGCTTGGGATCAGTGTAGCTCCGGCCATAGCGGCCATTTGGTGGGGTGAACCACCGGAAGGAAGACCTTTCTGTCTCTCTCTCTCACTGCCTGTAACTCTACCTGTCAAATAAATAATAATAAAAAAGAAATGGGGTCATATTCAGGATAGGAAGAATCGCCTCTCAGTAACACTACTCAGAAGAAGTAGCAGACATTGAAGTGTTGAAAGGTGCAAACCAAAATGTACTGACTGTACTTTGCACCTCAGCGTGGGTCACACCCACAGTGTCCACAGACGCAGTGGCGCCGCGGCGTGGGTCACACCCTCAGTGTCCACAGACGCAGTGGCACCGCAGCGTGGGTCACACCCTCAGTGTCCACAGGTGCAGTGGCGCCGCAGCGTGGGTCACACCCTCAGTGTCCACAGGCGCAGTGGCGCCACAGCGTGGGTCACATTATGCCGTGGCGTGGGTCACATTATGCCGCGGTGTGGGTCACATTATGCCGCAGCGTGGGTCATACCCTCAGTGTCCACAGGTGCAGTGGCGCCACAGCGTGGGTCACATTATGCCGTGGCGTGGGTCACATTATGCCGCGGCGTGCTCTTTGCAACTCCTGAGGCTGCAAATTGCTCGTCTGCAGCTGCCTTTATTGAAACTGCTTCAACTCAATGAAACGAAGGGAAATCATAAAATTCCTAGGCACGCTCAGAGGAATTCTCCAACCATTACTATTCTCCCGGGTATTAGAGAGGGGGCCTACATTTTCCCAGAAGTGAAGGCAGCGTAGGTGTGAAGGGAGCACCATGCTTGGGGTGTGCTGTGAGCACCCCTTGGTGCGTCTCTCACATGGCTGCCCTGGGATGCGAGGACTCATGGGCGCCTTGTGCCAGGATGCCGGGCTACCAGGAGGCTGCCCTGGCCTGCACCTTTCCTGGGCATCTGACCAATCTGTTCTCACCGGGCTGTTAAAAGCATCCCTGCTTTTGGTTCAACAAAAAAGGTAAAACCTGAAGATACTACTTTAAACAGACGCCAGCTTACTTTACCTGTTTACGTAAAACATATTTGAGCTGGCACACCTGGATATGAACTTGGGGTTTTCCCCTTGCTACGTCCAGTTTAGGGACCATGGCAGCTACCACAGGCATCCGCTGTCTCACGACACTGCTGTGTCGAAACATCTTACTTTCTTAATGAGCGAGAAACAGACAATAGCTCCGCTACCCTGTGCCAAGCTCAAGCGAAGTGAACTTGGTGTCTGTGTGACTACACCAACATGAGAAGTGACTGTTTTACAACCACACAGAGGGACGAAGGGCCGCCAGGACAACGGGAGAAGCCCGGCTGCCTTGCTGTTTCCCGTCGGATGTCACGTTTATTCAACCGACCGTTCAAGACCTTGCGGAAAACACTTTGCTCAGGTAATTCAGGAAACAAGATCCACTGCTTTCTTCGCTGGAGAGGTGTCAAGAATGACTTTCCGAAAGAAGCCTTTTTGTGTTCTGAGCTCTCAGACAACATGGCACAGAGTCAGAGCGCTGGGGCATTTTGTTTCTTGGGACGAAGGGCCCCGTTGTGACCCAACAAGAGCTGAGTAGCAGAACACTTCCTAAATTCACGTTGTGCACGTCAAGTCTTTGCATCGCATGGTGTATGCCTTCAGGCTGGGCACTCCTGCCTCTCTCTTAATGAGATGAAGTGACTGTGTCAGAAGTGACTAGGTAGAATCTGGGACTTCCAGGGCTAGCGTTGTGGTGCAGTAGGCCGGGCCTCTGCCTGTGCCAGGCTGTCGGACCCCAGGCATGGGAAGCAGGCACACGTAAAGGATCTCCCCAGAGCCTCAGCACAGCCCTGCGGCCAGGCCAGGCCCTGCAGGCACCTGAGACCAGGCAGTAGCACAGGAACCTGGGGCAAGCACCCAGCAGGCACCCTGTGTTCAGCCTGCTCCTTTGCACTGGGCGTGCTCCCTGGGAAAGTGAGCATGACCACTTTCGGAAGCATCAGTAAGGAGTAAGAAAAGAAAAAGGGTGTTTTTGAACTTTTTTTTCCCCCCCAGGGAAATTTTGCTGAAAGCTGCTAACTTTTCAAAGGCCGCTTCATGCATTCATTCTAACCGGAGAGCTACAGGAATAAATACGGCTGTACCAGGAGAGCGACAGGAATAAATACGGCTGTACCAAGAGAGCTACAGGAATAAATACGGCTGTACCAACAGTCGGGGAATACTTACGCTCTCACTCTGAAAAGGATTTAAGAAGCTTCCCCCCATCTCGCCATCATCCCTCGGGGTGCCCGGCTGATTACTCAGGCTCATGTTATTGGGAGAGTTCTGTAAACAAGATTCAGAAAACAAGGCACTGTTGGAGACTTTAATGTCCCTCTTGTACTGCACTGTTTCAAAAACAACCTACGGCAGCATCTCGAAGAACAAAGCAGACTTACCGCGTTCATGGCAGGTGCGTTCTTCCTAACTTGAAAGTACCAATGCTTTCCCAAGTGAAAAGTGGAAACAAGTAAGTAATCCCAAGTTTAGGCTCCGACTCAGCACGGAGTCGGTTCCCCACCCTCAGCCTGCAGAGGTCCTGGAGCTCTGGGGTCCCAGCACATCCTCACAGGGCCTGATGGGGAACGATCCCCGTGGGGCCGGCCGGGGTGGGACAGCAGCGCCCCTAGCGACGTGAAGACTTCACTGCTGCCCCAAACCGTTCCCTGGATTCCGTGTGCAGCTTAGAGGAACCTCAGGGAGGACGGAGGCGCGCAGCCACAGCAGTTCACAGCAGAGCCGCCGAGGGCGTGAGCATCCACCGTGTATTGTCAAGGAAAAGAGGGCTCAAAACAGCTTCCTGACAACTTTGCCTGGTCAGGAGTTGAAGAGCCGATACACCCTGGAACGCTCCTTTGAGATACAACAGCTGCTTAGCCCACCCCCTGAGACACTACGTCAGCAAGGCTTCCTAGTCTACTGACAAGTGCTAGCCCCATTACCGCTGAGCAGTTCTGGCAGGGCCAGCAGATCTGAGACTCTGCCTCAAATGCGATGGGCACTGGCACCCCAGGGTGTCCTTGGTGGGTGGCACACCATGCCTGAGGGTTCTCACCCATTTTACTGATTCGTCAGACACAACTCCAGTACTAAATATTCCTATCTGTTTTTATTCAAAGTGAAGAAAGATGAGATTGTTCTTCCTAAGCTATTTTATGTTCTGTTTTGGAATAAGGTTTTATTTATTTATTTATTTTTTTAAGAAAATTGCTCGGAGGATTTTGATTTAACTAAAGCAAGCTGTCTCATAAACATTAAAATTTCACAAATGGATTATTTCCAGAAGAATGTGAGATTTTAAAAGGATTCAGCGAATCTGTGGAGCAGAGACAGCCAGAACGGTGCGTGGAAATGGGCGAGGGGCCCACCTTGCAGTGCACTCTGGGGAGAGGATCCCACAACAAGCATCCTTGGGAGCCTGCAGGCCCCAAAGACTCGGGAGCCACACTTTCTTTGAGGCATGAAGAGCTGCCCGCTGTTTGCAGTAAATCTGTCTCTCAACATGGCAGTCACCCAAGGATACACAAATGCAGCTGCACTTGGAAATGAATGTGGGCAACCTGATCTTCTGAAGAAACAAACTTGACTAGAATTTAGCTGTGGGTATCACACTGGAATTCCCCAGTTATTAATGAAACAATAAACCATGCTTTGAAAACAAGAGTGGCAACACTGTGTTGGGTCAAAGAGGAAACTAAATTTATAAAAATACTTAAGATTTATTTAAACTATATGAAGTCCTTCTGATATAGGCAATTGTTGTGATCTTAATGGAGAAATTAGCAATATCAAAATAGTCAGCCTATACAGAGGAATTCACGGGTGCACCTGGGAGCTGTGTATGTCCCATGCCCCCTCCCACCCCGAGCCTTGTGCTTGCTCACAGCCCTGCAGCACAGCAGGTCCCTTGAGGGCAGCATGTCCCTGACCCAGATGGCCTTAAATTAAAACCCTGCTACACTTGTGCCACACATCATTTCTTGATTCATAACACTGAACGTTATAAAAGAAAGACTTAAAATCTGACTGCAACCCCAAGTGTTGATTTAAAAATACTCAGAGCTTGGAAGTGCCACTGTGCTGATAACAATGACAGTTACAGGACAGTCCTGGTGTTAGAGCATGGAATCTGTCCACAGCACAGTGGCCCTGCACCACACATGGAAAACTGAGAGAAGACCAGATTTGAGACCTACTGTGACCCAGCTCACTGGATCGCACGGGAACGGCGTGCAGAGGTAGGACAAACTAGGGGCTGTTGCTATTGTTGCCTGAAGCGACCGCTGCGAAACGTTGTGAAAACAAAAGTTCCCCAAGGGGACTGTGTTGCCCATGACCGCTGAGTGACAGGATGAAGGTACAGGCTACAGAGCACATTCAACATGAGTGCTGGGAGCAGCCAGGGCAGTGGTCCCGAAACCCAGCTCTGAGCCGGCTACGAGGGTGGGCGGCAAAGCACCAAGGGTGCTTTAAGGGAGCCATGCAGTGTCTACAGGATAGCGCATCATCAAGCCAGAATGTGACCCACAGAAGGACTTAGACCGGCCAAAAAGCACTCCTTCCTAGTGCTTGAGTACCAGCGGCCAGGTGAAGACAGCTTGCGTCATCAGCAGGCACACTGGTTGTGTTTATGTGCTATTTCCTACTGAAACTCTTTAGAATTTAACTTGAAAAACTGTAGTTAGGTGTTGTGGTGGATTCATTATGAGAGGAGGAGTGCGGTGGGGGCAAGAGGCGTGGAGTCACCACACAGCCCCCAGGAGTCGGGTGAAAGTGGGCCAGAGGCGAGCAGCCGGCAGACTCATTTATTTCAGTTGGTACAGCAGCTTATATAGCCAAGGCAGCCAATCCAGTCAAGGGGCGGTTTATGCCCTAACCAATCACAGCCTGTTGCCATGCAGGCTCCATTGCTCTGTGGGTTTCAAAGCCATTCCTGAGGAACTGATGGCCAGCGGCCATCTTGGCGTGGCCTTCTGATTCCACCAGTTAGGATCCGACTGACCCCACCTTCTAGGGATTTCATTATATTTGCATCTATTTTCTCATGGAGCTTGAAAGCCTTTCTGCTACTCGAGTCGCATGAGTGTTGTTCTTGGTATCCAAGGTGGATGGGTTCCAGGACCCCGTGCAGACTCCCCCAGACCCACAGGTGTTCAAGTCCCTTACAGAAAACGCTGCAGTGTTTGCACATAATGCAATTCTTCCACAAGTTTCTAATCATCTCTAGCTGCCTCTGAATACCTAATACCATACGCATGCTGTGTAAATGCTTGCTATCCTGCATTGTTTGGGGAATAATGACAAGAAACAAAAGTCCACACACGGTTATGAAGGAGATGAGGACGTGAGGAGTTAAAAGGGCAGTGAGGCCAGGTGGAAGGAAGGTCGTTAGGTCAGTTAGCTGCACTCAGTTGTTTTTAAGAGCTAGAAAGGGTTGTAATCCTCGCCTTCTGATTCGTTGTTATTCCGCCCCTCCCCTGATTGATTAGACCTAGCTTTGACTGTCAGAAATGGGCCAATCAGAGAAAGCCACTTCCTGTTTACAAAGGCACACACACCCTGGCAAGGTTCTGCGGCAACTCTGCCTTGGGAGCCCCCCTCTGACTGCTATGGCACGTTTCTTGCTTTCAATAACTTTTGCTTTGCTCAATGTCCCAGTCTGCGTGGAAATTTTTTGATGTGAGACAAGAACCTAGATTACCTTCACCCTCAACCTCCTGTAACATTTAGTTCAGGTGTGATTTCTTTTTCAAATATTTTTGATCCATGGTTGGCTGACTCTGCAGATGCAGAACCCAGGCACACGGAGGTCTGATGGTCTATGTGTAGCTTAGCACACACAGCAGCCAACACGCAGTTTCTTTTGGGTGCTATGTTAAACTGTCAGACTGTCTGTTCTCTCACTTACTCTTGTATTCTATACCCTCTCCTAAGTTACAGTCTCTTCTTCCCTCCTTGAATACTGTCCCGTATCTTTTTAAACTTTTAAAACTCAAAACAAGTGAACATAGGTAAAAACCTTGGCTCTGCCTATAATTAGAATAAAATAATATTGATATTACTCTAAGTCCTTTGAAGTGGATTTTGAGCTGATCTCTCATGGGCTCATGTCAAGATGAGTTTCCCAGGGTGTGCCCTCTGAACACATGGCCAGCCACTCCCAACAGGCACAGATGGACTGGGGCTCGGGCCGGCACAGCTGAGACCACAGCAGGGCTCCCACGGGGACCGAGAGCTCCCGGGGCCTTTGGACCTGGGGCCAAGGTCCTCACAGTCAGAGAGCGGAGTCTGGAGACCGCTTTGATCGTCTCCTACGTATGATGCGATCAGGTCTTGCCTTCTCATGATTTTTCTTCAAACTCCGAAATCTAACTGTGAAGCCTCTTAACGCGAGCGGCGGGGTGTCTGCAGGTGCCCCTCTCCACCCTCAGCCCCGAAACAGCTCCCAGGGAAAATGTTTCTGTTCCACTGATTAAGCGCTGACTTCTCAGCGGCGAACGAGATGAAAGGAATTTCACATTTCATTAAAAGACTTCTAAATTGGAGTTGAGTTCTGCATGTTGAGAAAGACGCATGTGAGTTTTACGAGGTAGTCCTCAACTACGCAGGAAATTATTTTTGAAACTTTGAGCCCATATTGCACTGAAACAGCGTTCTGGAAGTGTTCCCAGCCTGGCCCACGAACGGCTGCGCGACAAATGAGAAGGAAGAGGGTAGCAGCAGCATGGCGTCTGCACACACCCACAGCAGTCAGCGTCTGCTCACACTTGATCCTCACACTTGACCAAGCAGGCAGAGGATGAATGAACTATAAACTTTCACAGCTAAGGAAACCAAGCCTGCAAGAGATTAAGTAAGCTGTTCTCGCCATCCACGGCGGGTGGCACCGGGCTTATGCAGTCTCCATTTCCTACTCTTTTTCTTATGGGTAAAAGACAGCACACCTGCCTTTAAACAGAAGAAAAAGAACTGAAGTAGTACTAATAAACAATGTTTAAAGTGGATTAACTTGGGGCCTGCACTGTGGCACAGCGGTTAAAGTCACTGCCTGCACTGCAGGCACCCCATATGGGCACCAGTTCAAGTCCCAGCTGCTCCACTCCTGATCCAGCTGATGGAAGACCTTTCTCTATGCCTCTGCCTCTCTGTAACTCTGCCTTTCAAATAAAGAAATAAATCTTTAAAAAATAAATGAAGTGGATTAAGTCTTTAACAAATGTGTAATTCTGTTACTCAGCCAAACGCAGACTTAACTGGAGGAACAAGTGCAGCTTGAGGGATTTGAACAAACTTGCTAAGCAGGCGCAGCCAAGCAGGCGTGGCCAAGCAGGGGTGGCCAAGCCTGTCCTGAGTCTCCAACCAGAAGGACCAGAGAGAGAAGATGATGGTAACCAAGGGACCCCTGAAATAGAGGAAAGGAACGGTGGCAAAGCCGGGGTGGTGGGAAATGCAGGGTGGGGAGCTGGAGAGTGAAGCCGTCAGGCTGTGGGTGGGGGGAGCGCCACAAGGCTGCAGGCAGGAGAAGGACACCTGCAGTGCAGCCCCCAGGGATGGCCGGTGAGGGCCCAGAGCCCCAGAGTGCAGGGCAGAGGAGAGCTATACTGCACAGAGCCCTCATGGAGGATGAGGGCTTCCAGCCCGGCTGCTCAGTGGCAGGCTTATTCTTTGGGGGCTGGTTCTCATGCTAATCCTACTGTGTATGAATCCGGTTCCCAACAGCTTTTCCTTATGTTACTTGTTTGGTGCCCGCAGGTAAACTGAGCTCCCTGAGGCAGAGACCACGCTTATCTCTGGATTTGTGGCGCTGGGCAGCCGCCTCGGTGCACGCATGTTGAGGACAGACGTCATGTCTGTGTTTACAAAGTCTGTCCTGCGTCCCCCGGAGTGCACGGGGCAACACCCAGTACGGGGAAGTACACGGCGAGTGGCCCATCACTGCTCAGAGCACGAGCAGTGCGACACTAGGCGGGAGAAGGCCCTCAGCAGTGGGCCCAGGATCCTGGACAACGGTCTCTCGGGGAGGGCAATGGGCAAGTGAGCTCAGAGGGAGCTGCAGCAGAGCCCACGTGTGACTCGGTATCATGGCTCCATCTAAAGTGCTTAGAGCGCCTTTCAACCACAAAGAACTTTCCCTGTTTACATCGCTCTCTCCTGGAAGGCTTAGGAAGAGGGTTTGAGGCTACCATCACGTCTAGAAGAAGTGTCTCACCACCAGCAGTTTCACTGGGGACCACGGAACAGGATTCGGCGAGCGCCGTTCTAGGAACTGCCTCAAAGTCAACACAGTCGTGGTCACCAACTTGCGAAGGCTCCTCCCAGGGAGAAGGCTCCAGTGAAATTACACAGGGAGCCCTGTTTTGAAAACAGGCCTCAGCGCACATAGAGCGGCAGCGCACACACCTGCGTCCCACACCCGAGCACTCGACTGTGAGTCCTGGCTCTGCTCTCACTCCAGTCTCCTGCCACCGTGCACCCTGGGAGGCAGCCGGGGGTGGCTCAAGTACTTGGGTCTTTGCCATGCATGTAGGAAGCCTGGACTGGCTTCCCAGTTTATGGCTTTGGCCTGGCCCAGCCCTAGCTCTTGTAGGTGTTTAAGGAATGAGCCAGTAGATGGAGGATGTCTGTCTTTTTCTCTGACTCTCTGCCTTTCAAATAAAGGGAAGATAAAAAAACATTAAAAAGAAAAGGAAAACAGGCTTTATGAATACCGTTTCTCACAGAGGTGAGCTAGTGTCCATTATAAGTAAATATCTATTTGTATAAAGGAAAAAGGCCTTTGTGATTGTTACTAAACACAGACATTCAAAGGACCTGATGTAGGGGGCCACGCAGCCAGGTGGTGCTTCTAAAATCAGAATGACAACTTTTTTTTTTCCTTTTTGCTTAAAGTCTTAATATAAAATGTTCTGTAGCTCAACCAATCTATACTATTTTCCTCGACATCAGGGATTTTACATAATTATATGACTATACATTAGAAATAAAATCGAAGGCGAAGTCATTTCTTTACTTTTTTTCTGGAACATGAAGTAGACTTCTAAGAGAGGCATTCTAAACGGCAGTTCTCATCAGTTCTTCTTAGCCATTCTAAATATATTTTACTCACAGAGAGGTATTTTAAATTCACCATGACCTACAAAGTACTTAGGTATTAGTCTTCACAAAATATCAGGTATTTTAGCAAAGGATTAATAGTAGATACTCTAACCCCTGAAGAGGGAAATGCAGCCACACGCTGTCAGAGGCTGACTTTCCTACCTGGACTGCTACCAGTCCCTAACTCTACTGGATGAGTAGAATAATGACTGTGGATATCAACGCTGCATATATGCAAAGCCCTTAGACACAGAATAATCACTTTTCCCCGTTACCTCTTCTCATACTGCTTCAGACACCTCTACTGTTTTCAAAAGATTAAACTGTTAGTTTGTTTTATAAATGTGTGACATCATAATGTGACTAAACTATTATTTGGGTGTCACTTACCCAGGGTTAGTACCTCCTATAAGTGACTTACAGGGAGTTCACGAATGTTCTTAGAAGACTCATTTCACCCTTTCCCTCAGATTATGGACACGAACACTTTCCACTGCTCATTAATCACACGCCTCCTCCCATTGGTTTTCAAACTCTTTTCTGAGAGCCTAACTCATAAGGTTATTCTGACAAACTTAATGTGAGTTCCATGTGGAATAAATTACAGGTAAAAAACAACACTGGGCGTGCAGAGTCCTCACCTTGGAAATACTGTCCATATCTCCTGAGCCTGGAGAAAAACAGGGAGAAGAAGCTTTTATTAGGTGAGATTACACGGCCATGTTGGAAACTGCTGTAATTTAAGTGAGCTCAGCACACTGTACATACTCTCCAGAGTATATCTCTTGAATTTTTGAATATTAAAACCCTCTTCCTTTTATTAATGATATGGTCAGTCATTGTCATCTGATGGCAAGTGCACAAAATTCTACCTCTAGTTTCCAGTCACTTTTTTTTTTTTTAGTGGCAGAATGAAGAAAACTATTTTTATCACAGATTCAGGGAAGTAAAATATTAGAGCGGTCATTTACATATCCTAGTCAATCAAAATAGCTTAAATGCATATAGAGCAGATATTGAAAGAAGAAAGTCCTAAGAATATTTTCTGACTTCTTGGCAAGGGTGAAGGGGAGGAAATAAACAGTGTCAAATTATTTCCATAGGAAGAAATGGAATCATACTTACATAGTAAGAACATTATCAGATCTGTGCAAGACTGTTAGCTTTATTTTAAACTATTTTATTTTCTTTGGAAATTTATATTCATTAAATAAAAGTTAAAAAAACTATTTTATTTTCTTTGGAAATTTATATTCATTAAATAAAAGTTTAAAAAAACTATTTTATTTTTACTAATAAAAATATTGTAACATCTTTAGAATGCAGCATTCACTCAACATCACAAATGAAGTTAGAGCTTATCAGCATGATATCTTTGTATGTAAACAGGCCTAACACATTTCTAAATACTGAATGCACATATACAGTTGTGAATACATTTAAATTCATTTAACAATGCTCATTACAGAAAAGAAATGAGCCAGATGTCAAAGATGCTGTAAAACTTTTCCAAAAACTTGGTTCTACTTAATGACGTAATTGAGAGCCTGATAACTCTGACCAAATCTCTTCTTTTGTGAATAATTCTACAAATAAAGTGAGTATGATAACTTAGAAAACTGAATTGCAGAATGCGAGTATTATGATAAACTAGAAAGCTAAGCTGCAGAATGGCGTGCCCCGCAGGCCCTCGTGTGCTGACGGAGCTGGTTCTGTGGGTGCCCACGAGGCGGTCATCAAACACCAGAGCTTGCTGGCACCTGATCCGTGGCACGCAACTGAGGAGCTGCCTTGGAAATTTTATTTATTTGAAAATTAAATAGCCAACCATGACTAGTGGCTGATGTAACCGGGCAGGACAAATAAAACAAATCAAGACTTGGAAGTTCAGGTAAAATATGCATGGTTGCTCAAAAGCACAAAATTCTGTCAATATGATGAAAATTATGCCTGAATTACTCAAGTCACAGACTGGCAGTGTTCGCAGGGAGGCACTTCCTGACCTTGAGTGGGCGAGAGAATGAAATCTGCACACGAACTTAGATTACTCAGGCGCGGCTTCTCCAACTTCCAGGAACGATGGACCCTTTCCAGAAGAAACATTACCACAACCAGGACTCCCGGTTGTCAACCATTTTTATTTATAGTCATTTTTACCTAAACACATCAAATAGAAAATGTCTTTTTTTTGGGGGGGGGGTTTGAATTCAGTCTGCCCATACGTGAATAGTGTGCCAGGTGATGAGAGCAACTGGGTACCACCTGTCTCCGTTTCAGCGTGCCGACACTTGGCTTCATTGCTTTGTTTATGAAGTACGTTTCCAACCATTAGTTACACATTCGAGATCAGCTTTGTCCTGAAGACAATGTAGGCAGTGTTCTCTCCTCATTTAGATTATTCAGAAGGTTTGCTAACTTTCTTTTTATAAGGAGACAAACTTAAAAATACAAAAACAAAACTAAGAGATCCTTGCACACAACTGATGTTCCTCCAATGCTGTGTCTGCAGACCTCTGGGGACAGAGAAAGCAGCTGGAGGACACTCAGGGACACTCAGGACATGTGCCAAAGCAGCAGCAGCTTTCATCATACACACTCAGATTCTGGGAGGTTCCAGGAAGTCCCTGGGAATACCAGCTAGGTTTGGACAATTCTCATACTTCTGATTTTCAAATTATCTCCAGCTGTCAAAACCCATGTACTGTAGGGTAGGCTCTTAGCCTGCAGTGAAAGTTGAAGTATTTCAAACGAGTACTACCTACCACGTCATTAGGGTATTGCTTTGAATTTGTTCTATCAAACTTCAGCTCCTTACCTAATGAGCCATTCATGTGATGTGACTCCATTCCTCCTAATCCGCCCATGGGGCCATCTGACCCGGGGCCCATCGGGAACTAGTTGGAAAAAGAAGAAAGTGACCGTTTATCTTAACACTACAACATCTTATCCTCAACATCACAAGACACTACCACAGTTTCTTCTCCACATTATGGAAGTTTTTTTTTTTTTTTTTTTGTCTTGAGTTTTCCAGCCTTGTGAACTCTCTCAATGCACTGCCTCACCCCATCTCTCTACATTCTGGGTGTTTGGGTTCATTCTCAATCATGTCCCAGGTTTTATTCTTCAGAGAGCATACACATTCCAGTGCAAATGAGAAGATATGCCTTCCCTTCCATGACACTGACAAATACTGTATCATAAAAGAAGGGTAGTTTTTCTAAGAAGCTGCTAAAGGTACTGGCTTAGAAGAATAATTCAATGTCATTATGCTAAAATTAACATTTTTCTTAGCACACAATCTATCTTTCTTCAAATGGACCTTATAAATAATCTCCCCTTCCAGGTTAAACACATTTAGCTCCTTGGGGAGAGCTGAATATAGCTCATTCTCCCTGGCGGTCTCAAGGATGTCAGCTCGGTGACAACCAGACACTGGCACATCTGCTTCACGTGTTCTGAGGCAGTGGAACTCTTCTCCTTTCAAGTGAAGGTGTACACGAGGGGCCTGAACAGATGTGCTATGCAGGGCTGGTAAGGAGGAGCCCTGGGCCTGCCCCTCAGTTCCCACCTCTTCTCTCAAGCCCATTCTAGGAAGCCTGGGGCCCAGCAGGAAGTCGTGCACAGTTATGCTACGATTCCAGTTACGACGGAGTCCCCACACGCACACACCTCTTCCACACTGTACAGTGCAGAGTGCTGAACGTGTGTCTGTGTGTGTGTGTGTGTGTGTCTGAGCAAGCGCGAGCAGAGGGCGCGGTGGCGGCCATGGATCAGAGAGGGCTTCTGGGGAAAAGCTTCCTGCAGCTGACCACCCACCCCGCGGACCACCCTCTCTGTGGCCAGGCAAGACGCTCTCCCTCGGGTGGGCAAACAAGCCACGGCTAACCCATCTTCCCAGGAACACGCTGCCAATTTCGCTGCCCAAACCCAGGTATCTCAAAACACGTGGACTGATTTTCAGCAAACCAACCGGAATATATATGCTCACCGATAAGTGAGAGACTATGACTTTGAACTTAGTTGCCTTCTTCAGAAGCATGGTTTAGACGGAGCCTGGGAAACTTGCTGGGCACTCGGTGGGCTTGTAGCTGCTCCCCTCAATACCGTCTCAGTCTACAGTATGTCAGACCACACACGCACGTGTGGGCAGTTCAGCACACACACATACATCCTCTGATGTTCAATTCCAGCCTTCCTACGTGTGTGTGTGTATAAATACATGCATATGCATGTAATGTGCATGTTAATTACAATCTGTTGAAAAATATTTTTGTTGACATTTAGGACTTCTGTCCTAAATAAAATACATCCCTGTGAACGTCTGTGGTAAAATCACAATTATGTCCTTCACGAAGAACACCAAATTCTTCCTGCAGAGCTGCCTCTGCTCTACGCTTGAATCCTACATCTCCTAATGTAAAGAAAAATGAGCACATCTAGTTTTCTAGTTTGGTTTCAAATTTCTTAGGATTACTGAAAAGATCATGAAGAAAACGGAATGATCCTGAAAAGGAAGGTGACATGGATGGCTGTAATGACCTACTGTTTCCACGTAGTCCACATTAATCCTTAAGTTCTAGAGACACAAGAAGGTGAGACACCAAGATTTTAGAATTTGATTGGATTCAGTTTTACATTTAAACTATATTGATATACAAGGAAGTGCTTCGATGTCCAATGAGCATCTGAATAATAAAATGCAAGGTTCAGACGCCAGGTGGGAAACGGGATGTACTTAAAGTTTGGAAATGTTCACACAGATTCTAAAAGTAACTTCAAGAATTCAGACTTACATTAGGCCTGTTGGGTCCAGGAGGTACCGCATTCATTAAAGTATACATGTTGTCTCCCGAGTTGGTTGAGTCTGAAACAAAATATTACCCAGTCAGTAACTTTCTTCATCATCTATACCAAGTCATCGCTGAGAAATGATCGGATAATCTGAACTCACACGCATACTGACAGCTGTAGCACCTGAGGCAGGCATTGCTAACGTTCAGAGGCAAATACGTGGTAGTCAATTTATGACTCCAAAATGATCATTCAAAGGTCACAGAGGAGGTAGGAGAAGGCTAATCCCTTCACTAATTCAGGTCAAAGGGATAGGCATTTTATAAAAAAAAAAAACACACTTTTTGACCTCTCTAAGGGATTCTATGTACATATATAGCAACAAATCTCTTAAAATTCAAACTTAATAGCTTTTTAGTTTTCATTATTTTCTTAGATTTCCTATACAGAAATACAAAAATAGGATTTGTTAATTAGTAAAAGATGGTATAATACACTGGCTTAATTCTCAAAGAGATTAGAACAAGACGAAACAGATGGAATAAAAAATTCTCTTTGTTGAAGTAAATGCCAGTTTCCTTCAGCATAACATTTAAAAATTTTTTTTCACTCATTTCTCCTTGATTCATTATTACAAAAATAACTGTAGTGTATAACCATATAACTACAGGTAATCTGATGTAGAAATTCCAAAATTTACATTTAATGTCTATTAGCAAAACCTAATTAAGTCTACCTAGAATGAAAGATTAGTTTACACTGAGGAAATAACTAATCACTATGGTTCTCCATTTTGTCATAATGAGATAGATTTCTTAATATTATAGGCCTATTTTGAAAAAGGTTGTGTCTCAAAATTTTTGCACTGACTCAGGACAGAAGGCACAAATCACTGCTGCCTCGTGCTGTAAGCCAGGGTGGGAAACGGGCAATGACTTGTCCCCTTCTTGTGTCTTGTGAAGGTTTTTTATTTGGTGTGCGCCACGTACACAGTAGGTGTGTTTGCCAATACTGATCGGCTAATCTAAACATTACTTTTTTTTTCACTTCTCAATGAAAACAGGGAGATGATGAAAAAGCTGGAGTGCCCACTGGTTGTGAGCCCGATTTGCTTATTCAAAGACACGCCCTGACGGACTTGTGTGTCTTAGACCTTCACGCGTGCCGCACTCCTGCGGACCGAGCCACCTGGGCTTCCTGGCGTCTGCCCACGTGGCCCATCTCCAGAGTCTGCTCTGCCTCCTGCCTGCATCTTCTCCCAGGGTCCCACCCACTGACACTGTCGCGACTTAAGGCCCATGGGAAATGGTAGCTCTTCCCTGCCACTTCAATTCCAAGGGCGTGAGTGCTTCCCTACCCTGACTTCTGCCTGCATTACAGTTAACCCTTCATTTGTCTTGCTCTTCTCTCGTTCCAGCTGAGGCAGGAAAGGGAACATGTCTTACTGATCTTGTGGGCTATAGACATTAAAGATCTGTAACTTAGGGTTAGGCAATGGGATAAGTTCTATCGCATACGTTAGCTTTAGAAAAGCTTAGGGTGCTTTTTAAACATAGGAAACCTTCCAATTGTTTTTCAAATAGATTAGTCTTGCTCTCCATGACAGTGAAGTGTGCTACGTGTTTTAAATATGCAGACAGAGAAGGAATGTCTCTCTCTCTTTTTACACTACCAATCAAGAATATGATTTCAGGGGCCGGTGCTGTGGCGCACAGGTTAAAGCATCGCCACAGTGCTGGCATCCCATATGGGCACTGGTTCGAGACCCGGCTGCTCCACTTCTACTCCAGCTCTCTGCTGTGGCCTGGGAAAGCAGAAGATGGCCCAAGTCCTTGGGCCCCTGCACCCACGTGGGAGACTTGGAATAAGCTCCTGGCTTCAGATCAGCTCAGCTCTGGCTGTTATGGTTGTTCGGGGAGTGAACCAGTAGATGGAAGACTTCTCTCTCTCTCCAGCTCTACCTTTCTCTGTAATTCTGTCTTTCAAATAGATAAAATTAATCTTAAAAAAAAAAAAGGAATATGCTTTCAGGGGTCGGCACTGTGGCAGAGTAGGCTAAGCCTCCGCCTGTGGAGCCAGCATCCCCTGTGAGTACTGGCTTGTGTCCCTTTTGCTCCTCTTCCCATCCAGCTCTCTGCTTCTGGCCTGGGAAAGCAATGGAGGATGGCTCAAGTGTTTGGGCCTCTTCACCTGCGTGGGAGACCCGGAAGAAGCTCCTGGCTTCAGATCAGCACAGCTCGGCCTCTGCAGCCTTTGGGGAGTGAACCAGCAGACGGAAGAACTCTCTCTCTGTCTCTCCCTCCCTCTGTTAGTAGCTCTACCTCACATACACACACAAAAGATATATAATTTCACCAGAAAATGAAAAAACTTGGGAGAATAAGGCTGGTATTTTCTATGAAATATCAGACTTGTAGCACTTGCAGTCTGGGGGTTTGTGTTGGCTTAGTATTAGTGGAGTGACTGTGACAATGGACAAATACACCAAAGAGTGTGCAAAGAGGCTAGGCAGCTACACTGGTGGCAATTTCTGTCATAAAGACATGACAATACTGCTTGTTAGTGCTGGTCCCAAACTGTGTTTTAGTGTCAAGGTGTGTGTTAATCACGTGCTACCTTAAACATTAACTTCATCATACAGGATCGTGAATGTGGGGGAGATGATCATGTGTCTACATCTTCAACAGTTTCCATTTCTTTCTCTCTTTTTTTTTTTTTTTTGACAGGCAGAGTGGACAGTGAGAGCGAGACAGAGAGAAAGGTCTTCCTTTTTGCTGTTGGTTCACACTCCAATGGCCGCCATGGGTGGCGCACTGCGGCCGGTGCACCGCGCTGATCCGAAGGCAGGAGCCAGGTGCTTCTCCTGGTCTCCCATGGGGTGTAGGGCCCAAGCACTTGGGCCATCCTCCACTGCACTCCCGGGCCACAGCAGAGAGCTGGCCTGGAAGAGGGGCAACCGGGAAAGAATCCGGCGCCCCGACCGGGACTAGAACCTGGTGTGCTGGCGCCGCTAGGTGGATGATTAGCCTAGTGAGCCGCGGCGCCGGCCAACAGTTTCCATTTATAATGAAGATGCTTGCAGTATTGTCCAAGAAACACTTATGGAAATGGTTCAGTTAGTGAGGCAAAGTACAATTTTTAAATTAATTATCAAACTTACGCTTTTTCTAAATTAAAGAGGTTCAAAACATAAAATTACTATTTATTGGTATGATGAATAATACTGCAGAATTTCAAGCTTTCATCCATCTTAAATTTCAACAAATCAAAATATTTGAATTTGACATTGGAACACGTTTAAAAATAATCTCTAATTATAAAAATGCCCCATCTATTTACTCACTCAGAAGTAATCCCTGACACAAGTTTTAGCTTATCTGTTTCATTTCCACTTTTCAGGTTTTTGTGTCATAAATATATAAAATAAAATCATGACCATATTGTAGGGAATCATGAAAATTTATTTTCCATGCCATTAAAAATTCTTTAATAAGATTTATAAGCTATAAAATTAATAATCGCATTACGATCACATTAGATATGAAGACCACATCCACTGTTTCCCTGAATGTAACAAAGGAGCACCCTGCTACATCAGTCTTGGCTGCTATCTGGAACCACTTCTACTCTTCAGGTTGCACACTCTGATGCTCTGAGCCTTCTCATGGCTCTTGGTGCAGGTACCAGAGCCCACCAGGAGGGCAGTACCAGTCTAAGTTGCCACCATTCCATTGCCCCACGTCCATTCCATAGTCTGTGTGAACGTCTCAAGGATAAGGGATAAAGTCAGTTAAAATAACTGTATAAAACTGTTAAGGAGATACTGAGATATAATTTAGCTTATAAGATTAAGAAAAGTTTTCCCCTGAATTTGTTAGCTGCAGACTGAGTAGCAGCACGGCACAGTCACAGCCACTCTGGTAGGACGAAAGGGCTGGTGGTCGGAATTGCTGTCTTGGACCTAACATTCATGTATTTAATGTTCTACTCTTATAGAATATTTCTATGTGGTGAGATCCGCAAATTCTTCTCAGTGTCACGGAATCTTTAAGGTATGGGGCAGTTCAGACAGATCAATACAGTTTCATCCCGATTAAATCTACTGCCTATTGAACACAAATTTTCTAAATGTCTGAGTAACTGGACAGTAATTACTCAAGAACACTGTGTCTTTCCATCTGCTGCCTCACTGTACTTCAACCCTCATGAGATGCGTGGTAAAACTTTATTTCACACACAGTCTCTATTTGTGATTTCAGTTGACTGTCTGGATGCACGGGTGGCTGGTCTGGTGACAGTACCTGCTGGACTGGGCATGATGGGTGTCCCTGGTGGCCCTCCGCCTCCTGGTGGACCCTAAACAACCATACAACATTTCAGTGAAAACAAGGCATTTCATTACACAGTGTAGGACAAACACAAGAAATGCTAGACTGATTTATCTCTGTAACAATCCAGTTTGAAAACAATAGAAGAAATACGCTTTCTCCATAATTTATTTTCTTTGAATGCACAATCATTTCAGCATTGCGCAAAAACATAATTTAGCTTAAATATGGTGAGATTGTTTTGACAAGTTTCCAAAAACAACGAGCCTGTAAGACACTGATCTATTATTCACGACTTAATCACATCAGGTATGAAGAGGCTAAGGAGAAAGGCCCCACTTAACAGGGCCTTCACAAATCCATAAAATGGAAATAATTCTTGTGCACTTGTGAATTCAGTCTGCTGCTATGGTCTTACACTTCGTATCGTGGGTTTTTACAGGAAAGCATGTGTGATTCTCTCAAGGATTCATATTTTAAAAGACCCGCGATGCCCTTTCTCCTCTTGTTGGCCTCTGTTTGCTGTCATCAATAGTACTGACTATCTAGGCTGCAGCCACAGAGCCACTGGGAAACAGAGGTTGGGCGAGTCTGCAGTTAACTACTGCGGATGACCAAAAGGAGCAACTCAAGTCACAGGCTTTAGAATTCCCAGACGCTCTTTGTACAGTCATCAAACCAACTCATAAATGGCTAAAGTTTCACTTACTTCTAAATGTGCAGCTCCAGCTTACCAATTATTTCAAATACTCATACATATTTGCTACTTAATAAACGACTTAAATTTCCTTCCAAATAGAGTTTACAATTCATTAAAGTAAATATCAGGCTTATTTATTCATAATAGGTTTACCCAAATTTTCACTGTTTTGTTCATTTTCATTTCGTAGAAAATGTGAAGACTTTCTTAGTCCAGCTTAAAGGAACACTGAGCACCGGGATCACAGGTCCTGAAGGGCACTAAGTTTCTCCTATGCGAATCAGACACTACCCACTCCGTTCTAACCACCCCGCTGGCCACCCCCCCGAGAATAAATGTGGAAAAGATTTCCCTTTCACCATCACATTATCTGCTAGGGTGGCAGCATGAATCACAATGTGACGATGATGGAAAGGTCACCTGTAGGTGCAGAAAGGCACGTACAATCTGCTACACTGACTTCATATCTATATAAATTATTGGGAAAATCTAATAAGCACTAAATAAGAGGAAAAGCAGATATCCTCAATTTCTAAGATTGAAAAAAAAAACACCCTGAAAGATTCCTCTAAATGCCCAGGCACCATTCTGCTGCCTGATCCTCTCTGGGTCCGGGAAGAAGTTCACTGTCTTTGGAGACTGTGTGCGAGCAGGCTGGAGGCTGGGTGGGTTATTCTCCTGGGGAATTGCAAGTGCAAGCACCTCACTGTGCATCTGGGGTCAGCTCTCTTCCTGACTGTCTGCAGAAACATAGGCTGAAGTAGAACAGTGCTCAGGGCAGTGCTGGCCAGACTGCTAACGGCCGCACTGATGGACATCAGCATGGGCACTGAGTGAGAGTGACGTGCTGAGACAACTCAAGATGTCCTCTTCTGGGCCAATAGGCAGGGCTCCTCTCAACACCCGGACAACCATTTCCTTGCACAAACAAAACGTAACCTCGATTCTTGCGAGCAAACAGACCCAGTGTACTTACTACATAATTCCCGGGAGATGCTGAGGAGTATGGTATCTGGAAGGAGAACAGGACACAGAGAGACAAGTTTTGATTCACGTGGCAGAAGGGAGTCTGACCTACGATGAATATTTTCCAGACTTTCTTCAGATTCTATAATGCATCACAAAGCATAGTGGAGGATGAAGAATTTACATCTGCCTCAGTGCCAGAGAACTAGTAACTGCATATTGTCTTGGATTTACTCACAAGGAGGAGGGATTCAGCCAGAATTACAAGGCTAAGTCATGGTGGCTTCAGGCTGCTTGTCACTGCCTGATACTGAAGACTCGTTCTCAAGTAGACAGAGGTATGTTTGTGTAGCTAAAAACCATAAAAACGAGACCAGAGCTTTCCCAATCAGTCGCCTTCACAGATGCACCTCTGGGCATCTGCACTGGTTTGAAGTCAGGTCTCAGGGTACGCTGTTCCTACAGCCTGGGTCAACTCTCGAGTCAGACGTCCCGTGAGCCTCCCCTTCCCAGTGGCCATCAGAAAACAACCCCGTGAAGCAGAAGGGTTTGTTCAGATGAGTCTCCAAAGGCTCCATTTCTCTGGGGATCGGATATGGGGAACGAATTCCCCCTTCAGGCCAAGTTCCCGTCTAGAGGCGAGAAGACACTGACGACACACTGCGGCAGTGACCTCAGAAGCAAAAACTGGGACACGTTTAAAAATAAGCCCTTGAGTGTGGCTATTAACAGGGAAAGTTAAACCCAGTATTTTCATTTTTTCCCACATAAGCTCACTCTCGTGAAGATGCTGTAAACCCACAGGCAACGCTGCCCCCTTATTCATACCTGGGTCAGTGGGCTGCTGTCTGCTGGGAGTCGGCCAGCACAGCCAGCAGGGGACTCGATAGTGACCCCCCACCCCACACCTGCTGTACAATTAGACACAAAGATAATGCGCAACCATAACGCAAGGACGGGAAGCACAACGAATTCACGAGTTCCCTTTGGTGAATAACTCATGGAAGACTTTCTGGAAATACTTAGTATCGAGTTACGCGAAAAGCTTTTTTTTCCGTCTTTGCCTTAATCACAGAGAGCCGTCCCAGAGGCCCTGCTGGGGCCGTCCAGGGGCTTGCAGCACGCCAGAGAGCCACTCCCACAGTGCCCAGCACCGCCAGTGCTCAGCGCTACCTCCCCGACGACTGGAGACTAGGAGACTTTTTTTTTTTTTTTTAATTTTTCAACTGTTGCATGATCTTTATTTAAAAAATAAATAAACTAAAAGTTGACCTCTCTAGAGATCGACTGTTACCCTGACGAAGCTAACAAAGATGCTGTAAAGAGTAATTAACGATAGCCTGAAAAACAAGTTCGTAACGCGTAGATTCTACAGTATCCAGGCATGGCAGAAACAGACTTCAAAAGGAGGCGGAGTGAGATCTGAGAGGTCGCTCGGTGATTAGCTGCTTTGCTGCTACCCTCCCAACACGTCCACACAGACCAGCCTCACAGAAAGATCAACAAAGGCACGTGCTCATGTTTTGTCACATTCACAGGTAGAAACTGTATCACCTGTTTTCAAGCTCGGAGATGTCTGACTGCAGCTTCAGGTACCACTTCTCAGCCTGGGAGAAGAGCTGCCGCAGGAGCAGCACATTGGTGTAGGCGGTGTTGATGAGCTCCAACTCCACCTCGCTGTGCACCACGGCCTGCAAGCCATTCAGGACCTCGGAGACTTCGTCTGCGGTGAAGGTCTCCTCCACCAGTCTGCTCTCCTTCAGGTCCTGGAAGCAGGAGTCCACCGTTTTGAGTCTCAGGCAGAACTTCCATGGCCGTGTTCACTGGACGTGGCGAGTGAAGACAGTGTGGCTCTCTCAGAGCTGAGCGCTTCACGAGCCACTTTCCACCCTCTGCTCCTCACTGTCTCTAACACGTGCACCCGGCGTCTCCAGATCACTAACTAATCGACTCTTGGGCCCAACTCTGTCTCCCCACGTCTTCAGCACCTGTTCAGCACCTTCTGCCGCTCTGTGCTGCCCGTCGTCAGTCTTAGGTAAGACACGATCTCATCACCCTTCAGATCTCTGGGATGGATGGTCCAGTGCCTTCCTTTAATTGACAACACTTACACTGCCTTCTCGTCCATCGATGAGTATTTTAAGCTAATTTTACACAGAGATAGGAGCAACTCCTCAGCCTGAAATCTTTCTTATTTCTCATGAGACACACTAAACCAGAATCTTTTCCCATCACAATTCCTCTGGGTTTACTGCAGCCATCATTTTCCCACCGCATTATGACTGAATTGTCTGCCCCTCCCTCACGCCACCATTAGCGTTTTATTCCTCCCTCCGACATCTCAAACCCGTTATCCGAAAGCTTCCTTTGTTGGCTCCCATCTTGTTGATCATCTGCCTAGCTGACTTCTCTGATGCACAGTAAAGACTTCCTGAAGGGAAATGAAACTAGGTTGACAAGGTCAAAAGTATCATCAGGCTCTTCCACTCCCACCTGGTCACTGTTAATATCTGGACGCACTGGGCTCAGCCTTTACGGAAGAGAGAACTTTGGGGGGGGGGGTGTCAAGGGTCCTAGTCTCTAGCATTTGCCAGTTTCTGTGGGATAAATATTCCCCGTGGTAGAGACTGCAAGTAACCAGGGGTCCCACATTAGCTCATGAAATTCCTGACTGTTTTACCAGGGACTCCCGTGAACTGGCCCTCATGCGGGTTACAGGGCCCAGGGGGCATCCTCCGCCCTCCAGTACTGAGTTGAAGCCATCAGGTTCTGGCAATGCCTTCACTTCCCACGCAGCACTTCACGGGTTATAGATCAGAATGTCACCCAATCATCCAAAGTTGAAAAACTTCTTGTTTTCTAAGTCGTCTCCTCCCAGCAATCTTCTAAATCCTTGCTCATTTAAATTTTGTTTCTCGTTTCTCAAGGCTCCTTCAAACCCAGTTAAATATAGTAAACATTTTAAAAATTTAAATTTATCTCTAGTTGTCAGTTTCCCTCCATTTTTCCCCCTGTCAAACTTACTCTTACTGTTTCTACTCCATATTCTTTAACGTCCTCATTAAAAATTAATGAAAATCAGCATGTGGGCTCCTACACCTTAAAGGTTACTGAATTTGAATTCTTGAATGTGATGGGCAGGATGTGACAGGTTAGTGTGAAAGACACCAACGATTACAATGTAGGTAGAAGTAGTGAGTGCAGGCTACACATTTGAGCTGGGCATCTGGTGCTGCCCACAGAAGGACAGAGAAGGACCAGCATGGCGGCGGGGGGAGGGGGAGATGTGACCGTTTACAGCTGCTTTGGGAAACGGTGTGTAATTTTATAGGGAATGGTAACCGCTGAGGCCACATGCTCAGGCTATGAGTGAATTTATGCTATAGTGAATGAGCAGTCCCAGGTTCAAATTCATGTCTTAGGAAGACGGCTGCAGAGGCATCAGGGAACGTGAACACAAGTTAGAAGGCCATTTCAGAAAGTCCGGCAAGAGATGAGGTGGGGAGCAGTAGGCAGTGCTGATTAAGATAAAAGTAGGAGAAACAGAATTTGAGAGTCATTTCACAAATTACTCGAAGGGAGTGCTGACAGACAGGGCGTGGCCGACACAGGAGGGAGGAAATAAGATAATTCCTGGGTTTCCAACTTCATGACTGGGTGGCTGACAGCGCTACTCAGTTACATGCAGGGAGTTCCAGAAGCAGGCAGGTTTGAGGAAATACCTAGAACGCTGACTGAAGGCACTAGTAGACACTGATCAGCAAACACAGGAAGTCCAGACGTGATTAGAGACCAAGATTAGATGTGAATAAATTTCCATTTTTTCCTAGACATAACTTGAGCGAGGAGTAGGTTTGGACAGTTCAAACCATATGAAGATAATAAAATAAAAGATATGTAACTAGAAGACTCTACCCATTGAGAAAGGATGGATAATGTGACTGAATAAAAATCCAAAGAAAATATTGAATAAAAAGCTAAACAAGCCAGATTTTTTTTTTTTTGGACAGGCAGTTAAACAGTGTGAGAGAGAGACAGAGAGAAAGGTCTTCCTTCTGTTGGTTCACCCCCCAAATGGCCACAATGGCTAGCGCTGTGCCGATCTGAAGCCAGGAGCCAGGTGCTTCCTCCTGGTCTCCCATGAGGGCGCAGGGCCCAAGCACTTGGGCCATCCTCCACTACCTTCCCCAGCCACAGTAGAGAGCTGGCCTGGAAGAGGAGCAGCCGGGACAGAATCCGGTGCCCCAACCAGGACTAGAACCCGGTGTGCCGGCGCCGCAGGCGGAGGATTAGCCAAGTGAGCCGCGGCACCGGCCAAGCCATATTTTTAAGAAGTTAGGGGTTTCGTGCCCTTTGGTGAGGAAACGTGTAAAGTAGGCTTATTCTTGATACTATCTGGCTCAAGCCTTTTAAACTTTCTGTGACACATCTAGAGATAAACAATACAAAGAAATTCTTTAGTATAAACAAATATTATTAATGTGGAAAAAGAAATGAATGGATATTGAAAACAAAATCAAGGAATTAATTATTTCAGAGGTCAGGAATGATGAGGACAGCAAACAAGTCATTGTGTTTGTTTCCCAAGAGGGAGGTCACCAGGAGCCGCGGGATAGGGCAGCCATGGGGGTGGCAGCAGGCCGAGGGGTCAGAGGAACCCTTCTTGACGCCCCACCTCCCACTTCCGGTGCTGCGCTGCAACGTGGTGACGAGAATGACCGGCAAGGAGACCATGATGTCTCAGGACGGGGTGAGTGGAAGTGTGAGAGACAAGCGGGAGGCCCAGGAAGGGTTCAGAGACAGTTTCCATCAGTAGCCTCTCCTCCAGCTTTTTTTTTTTTTTTTTAAAGATTTATTTGAAAGAGTTACACACAGAGAGAAGCAGAAGCAGAGACAGAGAGAGAGAACGAGAGAGCGAGCGAGCGAGTCCTCCCGGTTCACCACAGCAACAAAGCAGCTCACTGCTTACCCTCTAACCCCGCTCCTTTCCCCATTCCTGGCTCCTCCCTGTCACTGCCATTCTCACACACGCCTGCACCCAAAGACCTGCGAACACCTTCAGTTCTTACCCTGCCTCTAACCCAGGTCCCGCCTGTTCCAATCCCATCCGCATACAGAACACACATGAAGATGACGGGAAAGACAGAAATGACGACACCACGGCAAGCCGGAGAATCCAGGGGAAACTAGCGTTTGACAGATTTCGAGAAACTCAAGGGCCACACACACTGTCTGGCCGAGCTGGGCGGAGGATCCCAGAGCTGCAGAGGACGTGAACATGCTGGAACACTCGGGTCCCGGGACGCACGCCTGTGGTGCTGTAGCAGGGGGCACCGAAGTCACTCAAGAGCTCGTGCGAGTGTTTTCTCAGACGATCGGTGACATTACAGCTCAGTACTTTCCTTCTATCTGAGAAGCACTGCGTCTCCAGAATCGGGATGGCAACGCCGAGACATTCTCTGTGCCAGTGCGAGCTGACGCCATTCTGCTCCTTTTCAGCGGTTTCTTTGAAGAGTGAGCGTCCGGCTGTGCACCGCAGAGCCTGGGAGGAGCCACACGCGTGCTTCACTGCTACGTCTTCCCCAAAGGAGCCGCCTCTTCCCGCTTCCCATCGTGAGCTGATGAAAACAATACTAACCCGGACATTTGCTGTTTTTCCTGTCGTCTCATCTTCTAGTAACAGCTCCTTTTGTTTTTTTCTGATGAACCACATCTCTCTGATTTTTACTCCCCTGGCCTGGGTGGGGCTCACGGAGCAGACATGTGACCCTTGCCTGGCAGATAAATGTCCTACCCTGCCCTAACTGCTTAATGACTGAGAGCAGCCCGCAGCCAGTTCAGCTGGAGTTACTCCCAGCACCTGGATTCTCATTGAAAACCACGAGTTTGGGCCTTCACACTGCTTCTCCTGCTGTCATGGATGAGTGTCAGGAGTGTTTGGTGGAAACGCTTTTACATGTCAAAACCATGGACAAAGGTTAAGCAAAGTGGCATCCTATGGGTAATGGCAGGCAGGTTCCACACTTCCAGAGACGTGAGTCATAAACATGAAAGGTTTAAAAAGGGTGGGGACGGACTGCTGGTGCTGGACGGACGTGCAAGCCTCAGCGTGCTCTGCACAGTCTTGTGTTCAGGGTCTGCGGCTGAGGGAGCCCAAGAAACGCAGTCACTCCATCGGGTTCCAAATAGCCTTCTCCACTACGAGGCCCCAGAGCTCCTCAAACGACTCTTTTCAGATCTGAGGTCGGGAAAACGTGAGCTGAGCTTCAGGCCTCCAAGTGCTCATTGAATAACAAGGACATACTAAGTGGATACATGATTCAGCCCCAAGAGGGTTCGACTGGGCACATCTTGGACACTTCCTGCGTGTTGTACTGCCTGAATTAACTAATTCAGAAGCACAGCCGATACCCACGAGTGAATGCGAACGGAGAAGAAAGAGCGACCCTGTGGGAGCAGAGAGCCAGCCGGCAAAGGGGGAGGGGAGACAGAATCGTGACATTCCACCTGGCAACCAAAAAGTACACAAGGCTTCAGGCAGGGATCATCCATGGATGCCAAAGGCAGCAGATGAAGGCGGCAGAGCAGGGGGGTACCTGGGCGAGTGTCTAGCTACGTCTTCGAGTCCGTTACTACCAAGGGAGACGCAGGAGTCCTGTCTGACAGGCACCACCTGAACCGGCGGACCGGAAGTCGCCACCATGCTCCTCCTGACACCGTTCCTTCTGCAGCGCCCCTGCCAGCTACATTAACCCAGATCTAATCCCGAGGACAGACGACACCAAACCATGGACATTCTAAACAGAAAGCGGCTTGCATTCAACAAACCACAGGGTGCGGAAAGGAGAAGAAGCTGAGGGGCGGCTCCAGGTTGAAGGAGACACAGAGAGGTGACAGCCGGATGCCCCAGGGGCTGGGGTTTGCTTTGGTTACAAAATCGCAACTGAGCCAACTGCGAAATCTAAGGTCTGGCAGTCGTAGGATGGCATGGTATCACTGTTAGTTTCCTTATTTTGGTCATTATGCTGGGATTATGAAAGATAATGCCTTTGGCTCTAGGAAACACCGTGGAGTTTTTAGGGATAAAGCTTCAGGAAATTAAATGGTTCAGGAAAATTACACTTATTTAGAGAGAGGGAACCACAAGGCCCTCATGGGCAAACGTCAACGTTTGGGACCGGGACCGGGGGATACGGGAACGCCTTATATTCTACCTTTCCTGTACATCTGAAGAGACTCCCAAACGCTCCAAGGACGAAAAAGTAAAACATATTTGCATACGGCAAAACCGAAGCAACCGCTTGACCATACTGTGCTGAGTCAGGCTTACTGTACTGACGGAAACTGGAGTGTCTGCAGGCAGTTTACGAAACCTGGATTCAAAGTAAGAGAGATGCGCAGACCCTGCACGGTGGTGCTCCCTGCGCCTCCTCAGCAGAAGCCCCTCCGGTTCTGCTACAAAGTCTTCCCATTTCACGACCGCATTCCTTGCTCTCTTCATGAGCCGTTTTCAGAGGAAGGCTCTTCTTTTGCACACTTCCATGATGACCGCTTTCTCTCTCGGAAGAGAAAACAGGCCACTCCCGGCTTCTCCCTGTTCACGCACTGAGTGGGGTGGACGATGCCATATGTGGCATACATCACCCTACAAGACTGCTTTAGCCCTGCTGCTTGCCTGTGCATGCGCTGGGAAAACACCTGTCGCAGCCTGACCACCGGACAGCAGATGCACGCGCACGGCTCCTACCCTACTTGTGTTTCTCAGAGTCTAAAGGGATGCACAGCGGCTGACCTGGCCCACGTGCTCAGCTCAATGCAACCCTGAAGACCTGGAGCCCCTGAGAAGGAACACTGGTGGGGACATGGGGCTCTCCTCTCCTCTCCGCTTCAACCTCATACTTTGCTTGGCTAAGACACTCGCTAGCTTTGGTGCACCAGCCTCAGTGGGTGAGTGTATAAAGGGGGCATGGTGGCAGGAGGGGAGCGGTGGGGTGAGCCGTCCTCAGGCAGCAGGGTGTGGCTAGCTGGGCTGCCAGGTGGGAAGGCTCACCTAGCCCAGGTGGACCATGGCTTGTAGTTTCTCATTCCGTCTTATCAAACATGCAGAAAATGGAAATTCTTCCCAGAGTCTGGCACTAACATCAGAATTTTCAGGGTCATAAAAATTGTTCTTTCTGCAAGAGCTCAAGAGACATATCATGAGTGGCTAGCCAGATGTCATTTTCAAGGGAAATCTTGAAATGAACTGGTTCAGGCCGGGGAGAAGGAGCGAACAATAGTGTGAGCTCCTCTAGGCATACAAGCAAAACGCGGAGTGAATGCATTCCCGTTACAACGTAATCTGGCTGGCATGCGGTCTCTCAGCAGGATTTACTAAAATTAAGTAGCCCGTTCAAGACTGCATTGGTAACAACATCATTCCTTCCACCGCAAATAACTTCATTTAATTAGCAAATGTGACAGCCAGTAAAACTTGGGGAAAACAGGTAATACACACTATCAAGGTTTTTCTCTAGACATTTGAGTTATTTGCGTCAGAACAAAGTGATCTCTGCTTTAGAACAGCAATGGGTGGAGGACGAGGCTCCCTAGACCACACACGTCTCACTCTGAACTTTCTTGAAGGTTAACCGTAAACACTGGCGCAGATCCATGTTTACTGAGCATTAGGGCCACGGCTGCAAGTCGACGAAGACTCCTTTTGCACGCTGGCAAAAGGCTTTCTTTTTCGGTAGGTGCCCACAGATTTGGGAAGTGGGACACCGGCTGCAGTTAGCCCCTTCTGACTTCTCGGGACCAGGCAGGCTTGTGCAGTGCACGGACGACACCAACACACTCAGCAAACCTCTCGCCAACACTGACAAAGTTTCAGAGTCAAAAAGGAAAGACATCTCCAGGAGCATGAAATTAAAATCATATCAACTTCCAGACAGCTTTATTTTCAACCTGTGGATATACTTACATGACTTTATTAAGCAACAAGAACATTTGTGCAGTTGAATCACTGCCAAAACTATACAAGGAAGACTCCCAGGATGTCAGCGACACAGATGTGCAAGGACAGCAGGGTACCTAAAAAGCACACGTGTGCACCTGCTTCCTGGGACAGTAAGCAAGCAAACTGGGTCTAATTAATGTGACAGATGTAATCATGATAGTTTGCTTTCTTCTAATAGAAGAAATCAGAGTGGAGATTTTATCTGGCAACTAATTATCACTGCAGTTATTCCAGAAGACCACGCCAGCTTATAACCACTGCAGACTACTACGCATGTTACTACAAGTGTCCTTAAATCACAGCATTTCCAGCTTCACTTCTGAGAGTGACACCGAATGTATGTTTACATTAAACCTTGAAGTGAAAAAAATTATCCATAATTTCAAAAGTAACGCATACTATGCTAAAAATATACACCGATTTTCTTTTTTCAAATGATGAAGAAACGGTAAATGCAACAGCTTTCAAGTCTCTCCCAAGCAGTGGGTTTTGTTTCTGTCAAATATTGCAAAGTGCCAAAAAAAAAAACCAAAAAACAAAAAAACAACTTACTGAATTGGCATTTGTTGGGTTTGGCCAAGGTCTGCCACCACCTGGACCCCTGTAAAACAGTATGAAAAGGGGAGTTTTCACCCACACTTTGAACATTCACAGTAAATAATAAACTGTGATTACTGGTTACTATCCAGACCCAAATTAGTATAGAAACACACTTTTGGAATAAAGCGCATTAAGACATAAATATAAATCATAATCTTGTGACATCAATATATGAACTACCTCTATCATTCAAAATACAATTACTTATAAAATGCCTAAACATATAATGATTGCATTTATCAAGTTACAAATAAATTAATGCACACAAAAAGCATGTATTTAAGTTGCCTCCTTTTCAAAAACTTGCTATTATGTCTATCAGTCCATCTTTCAGTGCTGCTGACACTTTAGTTGCTATTAAATGAGGAATCACTTTTTGTGTGTGTGTGTGATTTCAGTTCAGGGCGACAGCTAGAGTCAATCTTAGAGAAAAATAGGAGGGAGTTGATGCCAAGGACTCATATTACCTCATTTTAGGATGACAAAGAATGTCTTGTATTATGTAACTTAAAAGAACATAAAAATCTTTAATAATATTGATATTCAATTAAATCAGTCTCTTCATGCTGCAGTACAAAGTATGCTTGAATAAACAGTCTTAGGAAAAGCTAACTTCTGTAATTAGAATCATTCAAAATTCTCTTTCCTTCTAATCCTTGAAAGTGATTTTTTTAAAGATTTATTTTATTTATTTGAAAGAGTTACAGAGAGAGGTAGAGTCAGAGAGAGAGAGGTCTTCCATCCACTGGTTCATTCCCCAGATGGCTCAACGGCCAGAGCTGTGCCCATCTGAAGCCAGGAGCCAGGAGCTTCTTCCTGGTCTCTCTCGTGGGTGCAGGGGCCAAAGGACTTGGGCCATCTACTACTGCCATCCCAGTTCATAGCAGAGAGCTGAATTGGAAGAGGAACAGCCGAGACCAGAACTGGTGCCCATATGGGATGCTGCCACTTCAGGCCAGGGCTTTAACCCACTGCGCCACAGTGCCAGCTCCGAAAGTGAATTTTAAAAACAGATTTATATATTCATTTGAGAGAGAGAAAGAGAGTGGGAGAGAGGGAGAGAAGGGGGTGGGGAGTGTCTATCTGCTCATTCACTCCCCAGTTTGCTGCAATGGCTAGCGCTGAGCTAGGCCCAAGCCAGGAGCTTCAACTGGGTCTCCCACATGGGTGGCAAGGGCCCAAGTTCTTGGGCCATCATCTTCCACTGCTTTACCTAGGACATAAGCTGGGAGCTGGACTGGAAGTAGAGCAGCCAAGATACAAACTGGTACTCATATGAGAGACTGGTGCAGATGGTGGCTTTGCCCACTATGCTACAATGACCACTTTTTTTTTTTTTTTGACAGGCAGAGTTAGACAATGAGAGAGAGAGAGAGAGAAAGAGTTATAGACAGTGAGAGAGAGACAGAGAGAAAGGTCTTCCTTCCGTTGGTTCACACCCCTAATGGCTACTACAGCCGGCGCTGCACTGGTCTGAAGCCAGGAGCCAGGTGCTTCTCCTGGTCTCCCATGCGGGTGCAGGGCCCAAGCACATGGGCCATCCTCCACTGCCTTCCTGGGCCACAGCAGAGAGCTGGACTGGAAGAGGGGCAACCAGGACAGAATCCGGTGCCCCAACCAGGACTAGAACCCAGGTGCTGGCGCTGCAGGCAGAGGATTAGCCTAGTTAGCCGTGGCACCGGCCACAATGTCCACTCTTAGAGTCAAAGTTTTAATTAAGAGATTTTTTTTTGTTGTTGTTGTTGTTGATTCAAGGGACTCTGAACCGGAAGTTCTGAATGTTAGATAAAGGGGCTGTCCCAGTGAGTTACTGCATTACTTTACCTACTTGGAATATAGAGCTATTCGTAGACTTGTTTCAGGATTCCCAAGGAGTGTAAGCAGTAGGAAGGGCGAGCATTCTGCCCTTGGGATCTACTAGGAATGCACAAGTAGAGTTTTTTCCCACTCAGGTTGAGGAATGCAAGTGAAAATAAGATTCCAAAGGGGACAGCAAAAGTCTGTGCGTGGGAGAAGCTGAGGGCACTTGTCTTTTCTCTGCAAGTGGTTGCCTCTCCAAGAAGACAGCCATGAGCTCACCACTGACTGCTGGAACGCTCTGGAAAGATGATGCTACATGCAGCACCTGTCGTCCCCATGGGTAGAAACTAGAGCAAATCACAGGGTGTATGCTGATCAAGCACACCCTCTGGGCAGTAAGGACCGATCCACGATCAACGCTATGAGTCTGATGCTGTAACACAGTAAGGAAACTGGAAACATTTGCGTTAAGACACAAAGAATCCATCATAGCCAAATCATGGCAAACATATACATGCATACAATGATGCTATGTAAATAATGGGCCCATAGTTTTGAAATATTATGACTAAACAAGTATTGTATGAATTATGTATGAAATATTTTATTGTTTCAAAATATTAACATGCCAAATTAAATGTTAATGTTTCAGACATTTTATTTAAATAACATTAAGTGAAACATTAGTAACAGTCTGAAGTAGAATCATGTTTGCCTCAGTTAAATTACAGGGAGAAGCAAATTTGAAGAAAGCCTGTAATTTTGGGTAAGGATGACGACTTTGATGAAATTAAGGAATTGTGATTACACGGGGGAGAATCTTCCAAAACCCAAAATCACTCCTTTCAAATTTATTTATTTAATTGTAAGGCACAGCAAGAGAGAGAGAGAGAGACAGAGAGAGTGATCTACCATTTGTCGGTTCACTTTCCAAATGGTGGAAACAACCAGAGCTGTGCCAGGCTGAAGCCAGGATCCTGGAACCCCCATCTGGGTCTCCCACAAGGATGGCAAGGAACCCAAGAACTTGAGCCATAACCTGCCGACTCCCAGGGTGCATAGTAACCGGAGGGTGGGTCAGAAGCGGAGGTGGGACTCGATCCCAGACACACTGATACAGGAGGTAGGAGGAGTTCCAAGTAGCATCTTAACTGCTGTGGGAAATGCCACCACCATTTCCATTCTAAATGACACTCTGTGCAGTTTCTCCTCAGTTTAGAGAATGGACACGTGAAGATTACACATATATGTTACATGTATATTACATATGTAACTAGGTATATAAACATACATACAGTATATATTTCATAAAATATGTAATATGTATATAAATATATACAAATATATAAAACTATATATATTACATATACAAGTAATAAATAGAGATGTAGATACCGGTTAGAATACAGTATGTGACTAGCACTGAGCATTGCTCACTCTCCTACTCTAGTGGCAAATGTGAAAAGTGACAAGCTAAAGAAAAACTGCCCAGGTAGGACTCTCTGGCAGGTCGCTCCTGACCCTCAACACACAGTTATTTTAGTTAAACAGCTTACAGACTCTGCTTAAGGTAGCACCATTCTAGTGCCTTTTCCTTCCAATTTCAAGGAACCCAATAAGTTAAAAAAAAAAAAACATGAAGAAAAACACAAATATGAGTCAGGAATACCTGTTAGTCATCAAGCAAAATTACTTTGTTTTGAAGGGTAATGCGTTGTGAAGTGAATTTTGACACAGTTTACTCCATGGACAGCAGTGGAGATAAAATGTGCTTTATTTTTATGTCTCTTTAAATTCACTCTGTTTTGTGGGGGCCACGGTCAAAACAATCGTTATTGTCCCTGGTCAGATCTTCCATGCTCGAGAAGTTTCCCTGTTAGCAGGAAACGCTCACAGATGTAAAGCTTCACACGCTTGCTGGTCCCGAAAGAAGGCTCATTCACTGGAAGCTGAAGAGGTGTAGGACCTCAGACAAAACAGCTGCGAACAATGGCGGTCACAGTCTGTGAGGTTTAGAAGGTCCTTTACACTGGGTGTGGTGGAGCGGCCCAAGCCTCAGCCTTTGGTGCTGGTATCCCACGGGGGTGCTGGTTTGTGTCCCGGCTGCTTCTCTTCTGCCCTAGCTCTCTGCTTATGGCCTGGGAAAGCAGTACTAGATGGCCCAAGTGGCTGGGCCCCAGCACCCATGTGGGAGACCGGGAAGTAGCTCCTGGCTCCTGGCTTTGGATGGGCCCAGCTCTGCTGGTTGCAGCCATTTGAGGAGTGAACCAGCGGATGGAAGACCTTTCTGTCTCTCCCTCTCTGTAACTCTTTCTCTCAAATGAAGAAATAAAGTCTTTTAAAAAAGAACCATAAATTATATTAACAGGGAAATGTTATGTAATAGAATATATTTCAAGGTATTTGGAATACTTAAATAAGAAACTCAAACTCAGATATCATCAAAATAATCATATTAAAAATTTTAGATGTAGCATTTAAGATACCACTTGGGACACCCACATCCCATGCTGGAGTGTCTTGGTTCAAGTTCCTGCTCTGCTTCTGATTCCCACATCCTGTTGCTATGCACCCTGGGAGGCATCAGATGATGGCTCACATACCTGGGTTCCCGTCACCCACCTAGAAGACCTGGGTTGTACTCCCAGCTCCTACTTTTGGCCTTGCTCATCTCTGACTGTTGTAGGCATTTGAGGAGTAAACCAGGGAATAGATTTCTCCCTCTGTCTCTATCCCAAATAGATCTAATATTAAAAATTTTTACAAGGGCTATATTTAAAAATAAATAGAATTTGAGCCATATTTTTAGTCTTCATAGTCTGAGAAATTAAATGTATACATATCTGTAATGCTTAAGTATAAGTGAGAAAGGAACTAAGTGATTTTAAGTAGTCATTTGAATCTCTCAATGGTTATATGAAAATAATTTTTTCTCTATCTGCTAAAAGAGATTCACCTGAAGTTGATCATCTAACAATTATAACGCAGACTAATATACAAAGTGATATTAAATACATTACTATATTTAGTGACAACTCAGGGCTGGTCATAGTATTCAAAATGCATATCTTCTGGGCCGGTGCTGTGGTGCAGTGGGTTAGGGCCCAGCCTGCAGCACCGGTATCCCATATGGAAGGCAGTGGAGGATAGCCCAGGTACTTGGACTGCTGCCACTCATGTGGGAGACTCGGATAGAGGTTTTGGCTCCTGGCTTTGGTCTGGCCAAGTTCTGACCTTTGCAGCCATTTGGGGAGTGAATCAATGGATGGAAGACCTCTTTCTGTCTCTCTTTCTCTCTCTGAACCTCTTTCTCTTTCTTTCTTTCTTTTTCTTTTTCTTTTTCTTTTTTTTTCTTTTTTTTTGACAGGCAGAGCTAGACAGTGAGAGAGAGACAGAGAGAAAGGTCCTCCTTTCCGTTGGTTCACCCCCTAAATGGCTGCCACAGCCGGCGCGCTGTGCCGATCCGAAGCCAGGAGCCAGGTGCCTCCTCCCGGTCTCCCATGCGGGTGCAGGGCCCAAGCACTTGGGCCATCCTCCACTGCCCTCCTGGGCCACAGCAGAGAGCAGGGCTGGAAGAGAGGCAACCGGGACAGAATCTGGTGCCCCGACCGGGACTAGAACCCGGTGTGCCAGCGCCACAGGCGGAGGATTAGCCTATTGAGCCACGGCACCGGCCAAACTCTTTCAAATAAAATAAATCTTTACAAAAATATATATGCTTCTTATAACTTGGCATAGTATACAAATTTATATTCCTTAAAATCTATTATATTTAAAAGTGACTATCTTGGGGTCAGCATTGTGGCACAGCAGGTTAGGTGCTGCCTCAGATGCCAGCATCTTGTATGGGCACTGGTTCCAGTTCTGGCTGCCCCACTTCTGATCCAGCTCCCCGCTAGTGTGCTTAGGAAGGCAGCGCAGGATGGCCCAAGTGCTTGGGCCCCTGCCATCCAGATGGAATTCCTGGGAGGCCCAGATGGAGTTCCTGGCTCCTGGCTTTGGCCTGGCTGAGCTCTGGCCTTCGCAGCCGTTTGGGGAGTAAATCAATGGGTGGAAGATCTCTCTCCCTTTCTGTCTCTCCCTTCTGTCACTGTAATTTTGCCTTTCAAATAATAAAATAAAGTTTTTAAAAGTGAGAATATCATATAGACAAATTTTTTAAATATCTCTCTCTTACTGGTAAGAATTCTATCCTTTGTTGTAAGCACAAAACATCATTCATTCCTTTCTGTGACAACCATTAATAAAGGCCTTTGAAGAATGTAACAAAAGTCAGGTTTCATGTCTACACATTTTTATTTTACAACAAAAGATGTGACAGGAAAATGTGACCTACTTTTCCCCTCTGTTCTGTTAGTTTTGAGTTTAGCTGCTACTCACCTATTAACCTATTTTTAATTTTAGGAAAATTTCCCTTCCATGAAAATGGTTTCAGAAACTTCAAAAAAAAAAAAAAAAAACCCATACATCAACACAGCTTATTTCCCCATATTTATTCCATGCCATCCAATGATGGCAGTGTTGTAAAACACAGACTGGAGGGGACACACATTGGGGGTGCACCCTCACCCCAACACAGGTCACATTCACTCTTTCTGGAAAGCTTCTTAGGCCACATCCTGGAATCTAGCCTCTATTCAATTAACAAACATCAGTTACAAGCACCTGGTGTGCATGAGACTTTAAGAACAATTTGCATAATGAAAAATAAATAAAAGTTCCCTAATAAACCATATTATGTTGGTAAACAGAAATGACAGAGGGGCCGGCGCTGTGGCGCAGTGGGTTAAAGCCCTGGCCTGAAGCACCGGCATCCCATATGGGCGCCGGTTCTAGTCCCGGCTGCTCCTCTTCCCATCCAGCTCTCTGCTATGGCCTGGGAAAGCAGTGGAAGATGGCCCAAGTGCTTGGGCCCCTGTGCCCACGTGGGAGACCCGGAAGAAGCTCCTGGCTCCTGGCTTCAGATTGGCTCAGCTCTGCCTGTTGCAGTCATCTGGAGAGTGAACCAGCAGATGGAAGAACTCTCTCTCTCTCTCTCTCTCTCTCTCTCTCTGCCTCTCTCTATAACTCTTTAAAATACATAAAATAAATCTTTAAAAAAGAGAAAACAAAACAAAGCCCTCTCACTTCCTCCTATCCAAGCACATCTTGAATTTTCCTTTTTTTTTTTTTTTTTAACAATTTTATTTAAGGTGTACAAGTTTCATCATTATACAGATTCAGGAACAGAGTGATGCTCCCCACCCCACCCTCCCTCCTGCCCAGGCTGCAACCCTTCTTCCTCCTCCCTCTCCCTTTCCCACTGTGAATTGTTACAAAGCTCCATTTTCAGAAGCAACTTCACGTTATGCCATGGGCAGTTCTTGAACACAGGAGCCCCTGTGGGAGGCGATTCCTCCTGTGTTGTCAGTCAAGTTACAGTAAAGACACGCCTGTGCGTCTAGGGGTCGGACCTCCCTCGTCAGGAAGCACTGACCGTCTGTTACTGCCCTGGTGCCCTCGTACTTATCAAAAAGAAACAGACCGCGGCTGGTGACTTATGACACCTGAAAAGGTTGCAGGAAGGAAGAAGCAGGCGAGAGGGGAGGTTGCGAGAATGAGGCCGACAGCGCAGCTCACGCGCAGTTCACTGTCAGTCTGCTCTGGCCTTGAGGAGCCCAGATGCTTTTACCAACGAGAGTCACTTTGGACAAGGCAAACACAGCACTTGACTCGACAGAAGAAAATCAGTTTGCTTACATGTTCATTCCAGGCATTCCGGGGCCACCTAAAGCATTCAGTGGGGGTCTCATGGCACCTCCATAGCTCTGTAATGATAACCAAGGGTCAGACTACCACAAAACAAAAAAACAAAACCAAAGAGGAGGGGGAAAGAAAGGAGAGCTGGTTAATGATTTCCCTACAGGACTCCTGACTGGATAAGGCCTGTGTAATTCATTCTCTGAAGGCTCCACTCTTGCAGTTTTGTTTCTATTTTACCCTCACTTCGGTTTGTGTGTTTCTGAACAATACATGAACATGGAAGGTCATCAGAGTATGTGAAATGATTAAGGTATGACTAATTATAATACTCGACAAATCTTTATTAATTTCATACTGTTTGTGTAATAGTGAATTTATCAAATAAAAAATAAATAAAAAATTGTTTTAAAGACCAAATTTTTCAAAATGTTTGAAATTGTCAGACTTTTTACATAAATAAATAAATATAAAACAGGCAAATCCAATCCCAGAAAGTTGAATACAAACTTCTATTCACAAAATAACATCCAACAGAGAAATACACACACACACAAACACACAAAGTAGATGAAAAGCAAAGTATATTCAAAATATGCGTGCAGGACTTACACAACTCCATAAACTTCAGTATTTATTACGTGCATTCAAAGCACTAAAAACACTCTCCTATTTCAACACACACATTACCATCATTTAAGTTCAGTGGCCCTACAGCCAAAGGGCTAGTTCTGCCTCTGTCAGATTGACGTATCTTGACCTACCCCTGGGTTCACACTTGGCTTTGGGACACCCCGATTCTGCCAACTATTCTGATTCCAGTTTTCTTTGCTGGCTCCTTTTATTTTGCTAACTCTTTAAAAATGTGGCTCTTCTCCCAGTTCCTGCTGCAGCATTCTTTTCAACACACACACATTTATGTTACCATGTGTTTGGGAGCTATTTGTGCGTGGCACCCCAGTCTGAATGCTCAGTCACAGCCCCTCCTGGGCTCCAGGGTAACGCGTGTTGGAGCTCCTCTGGGCCTGTTTGCTGTCTGGATACCTCACTCTCAACACACAAGGGGACTTCAAAGAATTTGTGAGAAAATGGAATTAAAAATACAAGTTTTTTCCTCCCTGTATGTGTAAAATATGTTTTATGAAAAAACTACATGGATCTCGATTGACTTGTACAGAAAATAAACTCATACTTTTCATTCCATTTCTACAGAGTTTCTTTTGAAGTACTCTTGTATTCAAAGTCAAGGCAGCGTTTCTCTCCTCCTGGGGCAGTTCTTTCTGCAGCCTTCCACAGCCAGCTCTCTGGCACCATTTCCACAACAGTCCAGGCTGAGAAGGTCCAGGAGCCCATTGACGGCCGTGCTTTTCTTTCGACCCCAAGTCAGTTAGCAAAGTCCACTGATTCTTCCTAGCATCCATCTTTGTCATTACTCAGAAGACTTCTTTTATTTAGTTCAAGTCTGATTAGTGTCTCCCCGCCCTAATCTGTTTTCTCTATACCTCCTCAAGAGCTGTCCTACAACTTAGTATGACCCAGGTCACCTAGAAGCTATGGCGACCCACACAACCTGCCGAATGAGTCTAAACTCCTTGGTAGGACTCTATGAGTTGGGCACGGCCAGCGCCAGCCTAAACTCCCTGTTCTCATTTCCTGTGGTGCTGCTCTCCGTACCATCCCCCCACCATGCACTCTAGCCTATGGGATTTCCCGAAGTTCACTGTCACGTTAACTCATCTTCCTCGGCCTTGGGGGGTCATAGAGGAAATCAGTCAGTGAGAGGAAGGCTGTTGACTCCAGAGTAAGCCACAGTTAACAAGGAGAATGACCTAGTCATCTTATTGCTTATTGCTTTTACTTACAGGAAATCCTACTTAGCTACCCCCAGTGGAGAGGACTGGTTTCCATGCACGTGTGAGCCATTAGGTAGGAGGACAGCCACCTCCCTTCACCTCTGGGTCCAGGAAGGTGGTGGAAAAGGGGCTCAGGAAGAAAGCCAGGGGCTGGAAACAGAATCTGCATCCAAGTACCCTAGACTTGCCTCACGGGGAAGACCTCCCCTCATTCTTGGTCTCAGCGGATCTTTTACTATCCAAGGAAGATAGCAGTTTTCCTTGCAGCTCCGGAGGTGGACAGACACTGCTGGAATCTCTGTGGCCACCGCCCCGTGCCCTCTGCCTCTCTTTCTGTGTGTGTGTGGTCTCTGGTCAGTAATTCTCTCAATAGAATGCGATTTTAATTTCCTTATCTGTGTTGTGATAATTCGGCCTCCCTTTTCGACTTCTTGGAGGATAAAATGAAATACAGAGCACTTATCATAATGCTTGGTAAATTAAAAGCGTAGCATTTGATGCTCAAAAACTTTAGCTGCCAGCTTCTTATTATCACAGTCAACACAGAAACAACTTAGAGTCCCCTCTTCTGCAGTTTCCCGTGCGTCCTCAGCCCTAACAGATTTACTTGCTTGGCTATGTTTATGTCGTGAATCGCAAGTGCGCTTCCTTCCTAGACTTCTTCTATTATGTAATAGTGTTTCTCGATGTATCTGCATCTCTTGATAAACAATAAGAGTCCTGAAGGCAGAGAATGTTTTACTCATCTTTGTACACTCAATGCTCAAGTACTGTGTCAGGCACACAGCAAGCCTTCAACACATGATGGGCTAATGAGACTGAACTGTCAAAGGAAATGGGCAAGAAATTATTCAATGCAGGATGATTCAGGATATTGTCAAAATATTTTCACTTCTGAAATAATCTAAAGAAAAAGAAATCAGGAAGATAGGTGGGAATGACAATGGCTTCCCGAGTGGTATCCACACAGGCAGGACGGGAAGAGCTAACTCAGGATGGCGGAAAGTGAAGGCTCACGTAACAGCACAACTCCATCAGGTCTAATCTCCCCAGTGCAAAACGGCTGTGCATATGCTGCCTGGGAAGTCTCTGAGGTCTTCTTAAGACTGGGCAGCTTAATTTCTAGAACTTTCTTCCAAGCACTGAGCTAACGTCTACCACCTTACATCTGAAAGTGCAGAATCAGTTGAGTCTCTTTTCACAGGAGAGCCCGTCAGAGAGTACTTGCATCTTATTCTTTCTGTCAGTAACTGGTTTGGAAATCCTGTGTTCCCACTTGTAGATAACGTATTTATCCTTCAGATCCCAAGAGGAATTAGAACTATTTGGGTGGTGGTGAATTTTTCTGTGAGTTACAAGGCATCCACTGAGCTTAAGAACGCAGGTTCACTAAGTCCATCTTATTACAAAAGCAAGTACAAAAGTGACTTCAAATATGATTTAGGAAAGATTCTCTTTGTCCTTAAACAGATAATTTTGCTTTTCTATTGAAAGGCCACTGATATAAATTTAAAAGTCATGTATTATTACTGTCATTGCAATTAAAATAGAGGGTGGGAAAAATGCCTGCTTTTGTGACATACTTGTATTTCTTTATCCATGCAAAATGTTTGAATTGCACATTTACTATGTTCTATGTATGCATCTTGTCTACAGAAATAGCATTTTCAAAGAATCACTAGATTATAGATACTCCTTCATTTTGAGAATTCAGTTGTTCTGACAGGTAACTACCACCCCCTTTTACCACTTAAGCCCCAAATATTACGCATGTACAGATTTTTTTTAACAAAATTACCTGCAGATTTCAGTTTAGAGTACCTACATTTTGTATGCCAGGTGTTAGGAAGTAAACACATCACAGCACTCCCTCATTCCAAGTGAAGGTTACCTGACTCTTCTCCTATTGTGTCATTCACATGATCTGATTCCTCTTTCATTTAAATGCAGATGTATAATTTCCTTTAACTCTTTTACTTTGCATACAGCGATTTTCGACAGTGATTGTGGGTGTTTCTGATGTGGGAGATCAATTCATACCGAAATATCCTGCCCCTCATATGGCACAGAAGCAGACAGGAAGGAGGCTGCTGCTTGTCTAAATGGGAGAAATAAACTACTCTCTTTGGCTTTGAAAATGTGAAGAAAGACTTCACACTAGCATTACAAAGCTCTTAACACTCATCAATAAGAGATTACTCATCACAGTTAATCTGTTACTTTCTCCTGTAATTTACATTTAGCACAAACATATAGCTGTTTAGAACATGCACCATGAAGACCGATACGCTTTTTATTTCTGCATTTTTCAAACAAGATGTTCGTAAAGCTTAGGCAAGCTCTGCTATAACTCTTCAAACACTGTAAAGCTGACTCAAACCAGATTCTAGCTTTTAAAGCATTAAAAGCTAATATTACTAATAATTTGGGATGATGAAGGCTTAAGGAGAAGCTGAAAAAACAAGGGAACTGAATGAAGAACGAGAACTAAATTATAAGCGTGGAATTTTTGATGTTTATTTAAAATAGATATATCTATTAAGAAAATCTCTCCCGAAAAAAAAAATCTTTTAGGTTCTGCACAGCCAAATTGGTTGGCTTAGTTTATTAAAGACTAAAAGTATGATTAGTTAATGAAATATCCCACGGATTTTGTAATTTGTGATTGCTATGAGCAGTTCAGTGATGGTGGGTTAACACAATCATTTCCAACATGAGTAGGAGGTGGGAAAAGTAATTTGGATATCAGAATGAAAGTCCAATAAAACCTTAAGAAAATAAATAGGAAGGAACTGACCCTAAATAAAAACATGTTGGTTTCATCTGGATTTGGGTCTGCCAGATATTTACATGGTAAGTTTTTTTTTCTTTTTAATGTAACATGGCATCTTCGCAAAATTTGGCTCTAAGTCTCATGCCTCAGTAGAGTTAATATATATTATTGTATGCTCGTTAGAAACATCTGAGTCAAAGTCACATTATTTGGGTATTTGGTTCTTAATTTTTTGACTCCTTTGAGGCCACAACGAAACACGTGGCTTATTCTTTAAGAGGAGATACATGAAACAAGCCCCTAAAACTGTTACTTACAACGCTGTTGGTGGAAGGGAAAAGTAAGTAAATTCATTCTTTCACCATCTTTATAACACGCTCGCCTCTTTCCCATGAGCCAGAAATCTAAAGCTCTGGATTTTAGATTAAGATACAACACCATAAACATAATTCCTATTGCAACCAGTTTTCCCAAGGGGGTGGAGAGAAAGAGAGAGGAACTGATGTTTTAGCTAAAATAAACAATACAACAATACCCTGGAACAGCACAGAAAGAGTCGACCTCAGTGTACAATTCTGGGAGATTGTGGGAGAACTTGGCCAACATGTGCTGTAAGCTGAGTATTATCCTGCTCCTTCAGTAAGACTCATTTTAATGTTGATTTCTAAAAAATTCTCTAATAGTTTCCCTAGTTGACAAGGAAACATGGCTGTATATATATATAAACTGTCAACCATGTCAATGATGTTCTTTAAAACATACATAGATTTTTTTTTTACCCAATTCTATTTGATACTTTGAACCAAGTGGGTTTCATTTAATGTAGTCACTTCCTTAGCGTAACCAGCAAAAGGGTGACAGTTGCCTTTTTAGGTTACTTTAATTTATTCTTAGGGTACATTTTTTCACATATTATAAGACACCATAAAAATACATTTTGCTGTTGCATCAATTTGGACATCTGGTCACAAATATTACAGCCTCAAGATCCTCTACTGAAACTTTAATGCACATCTGAAAATTTGTGAGATAATACAGTTTATAGATGAAGATGAAAAGTGGTTTCAACCTGAGCTTCCTACACGGATGTTTTACCTGTGGTCCTAAGGGCACCATCCCTCGTGGGGGAGTCATTCTCTGCATTGGCCCACCCATATTTGGATGTCCTAAAAAAGGAAGAAGAGGTTAGCAGTGTAGTGGCCACGGGGGTCAACCCAAGGCTGGCAGCTCCTTCCCGCTAGGTACAAGGTTGCGCACCAGGTATCTGAGTGACTGACACCATCGCATCCTGGTTCCTGGCCACTTGTCTACTTCTGTCCACTGCTTACCCACACCCTCCATTAGCGTTTCGGTCGACATCTTCTTCCATCCCTGTGTTGAATGACCTCTCTCACCCTATTTGCTCCTCTTTTCTTGAGCAGTACCATGGAGTCTCACACTTGCGTGGTACCGAGATATTGCCATGGAGGAGGGTGATGACTGGGATGTTAACCTGAAGTCACGTGTTGCTTAGAACCCCTCTTCCTTCTGCTCACCTTTCAAGTGCACTAGCCCCTCCAGCCGAAAAAGGCAGAGGGAGTCCCAAGTACTGTCACCACTGAGCTCCTACTTGTTAAAGGTTACAGGAAAGGTTTCAGCAGTTATTTGTGGCCGGCGCCGCGGCTCACTAGGCTAATCCTCCGCCTTGCGGCGCCGGCACACCGGGTTCTAGTCCCGGTCAGGGCGCCGGATTCTGTCCCGGTTGCCCCCCTTCCAGGCCAGCTCTCTGCTGTGGCCAGGGAGTGCAGTGGAGGATGGCCCAAGTGCTTGGGCCCTGCACCCCATGAGAGACCAGGAGAAGCACCTGGCTCCTGCCATCTGATCAGCGCAGTGCACCGGCTGCAGCCACCATTGGAGGGTGAACCAACGGTAAAGGAAGACCTTTCTCTCTGTCTCTCTCTCTCTCACTGTCTAACTCTGCCTGTCAAAAAAAAAAAAATTATTTGTTACAATACAGAGTTTTGGAAACTTGTGTATTCTTTTCTTATGTCATTAGCACCCTCACTACCACACATAACTAACAGTTGAAGATATAAACTAGTCAGCCATGTTACCTGAAAAAATGCAACTGGTATAACAACATACCACTTCTACTAACAACACTTTAACAACGACCACCAAAAGGATTTCTTCTGTGGTTCTACACGTTGGCTTCCTCTCACGTTAGAGCAGTTACCTTGTTGTCGGGTTGGGTCCATTCCACTGGGGAGTAATGGCTGACTTCCTGGGACACCTCCAAGTGCCTGCCAATGCAACCAAACAAAATGAAAACAGTACTGTCAGTATTTGTAAAACCAGTGCTTCAACAGTCCCCTTTTAAACTCTGCGAGATAATTATACACACAGCACTTGAAGATTTCTTGAGGTTTCTGGCATTCCACGTGCATTTAGAATTTGTAGAGAATATATATCTAGTGTAAGTTCTGGGTTGTAGAAAAATTCCACTTTGCCCCATTCTGTGGCAAATGAGATATGTATTTTTGGGGAATAAAAATCTACATAGAAACTACCCTATTTGTTCCTGAGAAGTATCATGTCTTTTCCAAAAATTAATATATCAGTTAATTTACTTAAATAATACTGGAATAACTGATTTTTTCCCCTGAAATTTAAGCTCTTTATTTTTACAGAACATTTCATTCATCTGAGAATGCAATAGCAGCAGGACAAAATGCCAAGGGGTCAACACATGTCTTTTGGAGTTAACATTTTCTCTAAAATCTATTTAGAAAAATACTTGAATTAGGTTCAAACAATACAGTTGTATGGGAGAAGAGAATGAGTATGGAAAAAGATGGAAATTAAGCAAGGTTTGTTTTTGTGGGGAAAGATGCTGGATCATGAGTTTCAGCAGTTGTCTGAGCAGCTCTCAGAGCTGGGCTGGTTATAAATCACTGAAACTGGTGTACACCGTAAGCACATCTATAAATAAAATCCCACAGGTGGTGAGAATTTCTTTTTAAATTATTTTTTATTTGTATACATGTCATAAACAGAACTCTGGGCACAGTAATTCTTCCCACTGAACCCACCCTCCCACCCACACTGCCACCCCTCTTCCTCTTCCCAGTCTTGTTTATTACTAAGATCTATTTTCATTTAACTTTGTACACAGCTTAACTATTCCAGGTAGAGGTCAGCACTCTGTATGAAGGGGAAAAAGAAAAAGAGAGAAAACAAAACAAATCAAAACAAAACAAAAACAAAAACAAAACTAAAAAAACAGAATATATTAAGAAAAAAAAAAAACCAAGAGCAGAAGCTGGTCCTCCGCAGTCCAGACAAGGGCTGGTCCAAGTCGTTGCACTTCGATGGCAATTTCACTTTTTTTTTTTTTTTGAAATTTTATCTTTAAAATGGAACCCAAAAATGGTACATCTTTTGCGAACACTTAGACATAACTATAATTTGTGTGACATAAGAATATCCTCCACTTAACACACTAAAACGATGGAATTCTCTGAGAACAAGTTTTACTATTAAGTCTCACCATACAGCTCTTTGAGGACAGAGGTCCCGCACGGGAAGTTAGTGCATAGTGACTCTAGTTGTTTATTTAACAGTTAACATGCTTATGCATGATGTCAGTTGTGGGGAGCAACTCGGACTAGACTAAGTTACTGGAATTAAGACTTATTCTATGCATCTGCTCTCCCACAATATGGCGCTGGGAGAGGAGGAAACAGCTTCTACGCAGCTGCCTCCAGTTCAACCAATAAACTGCAGGACCTGCTCCTGATTGGAGGAGAGCAGCGTACTCGGCGTGTGGGTAGCAGAGTTGGGATTGGTGGAAGAGGACTATAAAGGAGGAGAGAGACAACATGCACCAGGAACACCTGAGGAACATCTGAGCAGCCCCCGAGAGAGAGCCGGCCGGCAGTGTGCCGCTCCCCCGCGGAAGTGGGGAAAGTGGCAGGGGGGCCCGCCCCTCCACGGAGGTGGGAGGGTCAGTAGCCAACCCGGGCAGAACCAGCAGCAAACCCAGGGAGGGCCAAGCAGACAAAAGAACAGTGCAGGGTCCTGTGTCGTTCCTCCATGAAGAGGGGGAGTGACAGTCGGTGATCTCCCAAGGCTCTTGACATGAGCTTCCTAGGCTACGGAAGCCTTTTGAATCCACAAACTCCTTCAGTGTTTCGACAAGGCCACAGGCAAAGTGGAGGCTCTCTCCTCCTTTCAGAGAAGTACGTCCTTCGGTGGCTGCTTCTTCCCATCGCGGTCTTGCCCACGAGGTCCATCACGTAGGTCTTTCTTTGCCACAGTGTCTTGGCTTTCTATGCCTGAAACGCTCCCCCATAAAGGTCCCATAGTATACTTTAAAGCAGGCAAATGCTATCTAAAAAGTAAAAACAGGCAAATACTTCAACAAAAACTTCACATGGAAGAACCTACTCACCCAGATCACAGCTGTCTCGCCATGGTTATCCCTGAGGTGGGGGAAGGACTGCCATTTCTCAAGCCCTTTTAGCTATTCTTGTGAGTGTTTGCTTCCAAGAACACCCAACACTAACTTCCCAAGTTCCTTCCGTACGACCTGTCCCTGCTCACCTCTCCAGCCTGAGTTCTTGCCAGCGTCACATTAACATTTTAACTTCCAGCCACACCAAGCTTTCTATGTTTTTTTTTCTATTCTTGTGTTCCTTCCATCAACAATATCTAAATGCCAACCGTTAAAAACAAAACAGAAACACTAAACTGCAAACTCTCTCCTTACAGGGAGTCACAGACCCTTCTGTGGCTACTGCTGGCCTCTTTCAGATCTCCGTTTTGGGATCACCTCCGACAAACCCCTTTCCTGTGGCTCCAGGCTGGAGGTCAGTCTGCCATCCTTCTATGTGCACATGTGCATATGGATTTAATACTTTCAAACCTAGAGCAAAATTGCACAAACAGTACAAAACATCCCTGTATATCTTGCCAGGGTTCCCCAACTGTGCACATTTCACCACACTGGGCTCCTCATCCTCTCTCACACACTCTCACCTATTACCCCGAATCCTTTCTCAGAAATACCCGAAGGAAGCTACACACCACACCTCGCCACTCATCAACACTGCAAAACGCCATTCCACAAACAAGAACGTCCTTGCGCTCATCAGGACACGGACCTTTCAAGGCAGGTAATCAGTGCTGATGTGATGCCACCGCCCAAGCCACGAGTCTCGTGTACACCTGCCATGGGTCTCGGTGTTGTCTCTGGCAGCAGGCCATCAGGCGGCACGTTACGCTGAGTTGTCATGTCTCTTCCTGCTCTTTGCCTGTTGCTCCAGTCCATGTCTAGTCCCACAAGGTCCTCAACTGTTTGAAGAACAGGCCTTGAACTCTACGGGATGACTCTGACGTTTCTTCACGACCTCGACGCAGTCCTCCTTTCTCGGCAGAACACCGGAGCCACACCACCACAGGGCGCAGGACGCTGACTCATCCCCTGCTGGTGATGCCAGCCTGCATCATCTCATTGTGCTGGTGGCTGACCAGGTCATGATTTTCCCCTTTCTGACGGATTACATTAGTCTCAGAACTATTCTGAGACTGTCAGTCCCATCAATCCTTTATCAAACCACCAGCCACCGCCTCCACTAAGAACGGATAATCACCAAGACAGGTGCCAAGTGGGAGACAGTCCATGTTGATCATTCTTTGTACATCAGAGTCAACATTTCACCACAAGGAAGAGTAGTCCTTATTCATCCACTCATAGGTTGCTGTTTTATCCAGCACACATTCTACTAATATCATCAATAAATCACATAATTAAATTATCCCAGATTTGGCTATACAAAGTCCCTTACGTTGTTCTTAAGTCTTTTTGACAGTTACCCATCTTTTTTTTTTTTTTTCTTTTTTTGAGGTTTTCGTTACTTCCTGGCATAAAATGTCCTAAGATTCAACCTCATGTTTCCTGGCCTAGCCCTGGAATCAGTGTTTTTCATAGGGGTCCAGACTCCTTTTTTTTTTTTTTTTTTTTGAAGATTTATTTATTTATTTATTTGAAAGTCAGAGTTACACAGAGAGAGAAGGAGAAGCAGAGAGAGAGAGAGAGAGAGAGAGGTCTTTCATCCGCTGGTTCACTTCCCAAATGACCGCAACAGCTGGAGCTGCACTGATCTGAAGCCAGGAGCTTCCTTTCGGTCTCCCACATGGGTGCAGGGGCCCAAGCACCTGGGCCATCTTCTACTGCTTTCCCAGGCCATGGCAGAGCGCTGGATCGGAAGTGGAGCAGCTGGGACTCAAATCAGCGTCCATATAGGATGCCAGCTCTCCAAGCGGCAGCATTACCCACTATGCCACAGTGCCAGCTCCCGGACTCCTTTTGGTAGAAGTTCTTGTTACTCTGGGGCATTGGTTTTAGGACCTCTCAGTAAACACTAAGCTTAAAACTCTATGTTTATGGCTGGCGCCGCAGCTCACTAGGGTAATCCTCCGCCTGCAGCGCCAGCACACCGGGTTCTAGTCCCGGTCGGGGTGCTGGATTCTGTCCCTGTTGCTCCTCTTCCAGGCCAGCTCTCTGTTGTGGCCCGGGAGTGCAGTGGAGAATGGCCCAAGTGCTTGGGCCCTGCACCCTCATGGGAGACCAGGAGAAGCACCTGCCTCCTGCTATCGGATTAGCGCGGTGCACCGGCTGTAGCGGCCATTGGAGGGTGAACCAACGGCAAAGGAAGACCTTTCTCTCTCTGTGTGTGTCTCTCTCTCCCTGTCCACTCTGCCTGTCAAAAAAAATACTCTATGTATATGTATGTATGCCTGTGCACACACACTCCCACATCCATAACTTTGTACCTACTGTGTGTCTGTGTGGCAGGCTTACACACTCTAACTTTGTATTCTCCAAGAGCAACTCAACTCCTCCAGTTACTCTCAGATACCTTGGGGCTGTTTTTAGTCTTCTTCCTTTCCAGGTTTACAAGTATTTTCTCCAACACTGGGAAACTGGCTTTCATCATCCTCAGTAGATTACTTATTTGTTTGCTTGGTGTAATCCCTCTCCCACCACACTCCTCATTTTGTGCCATCTCCGTGTGGCTCCTCCCTACCCCAGGCTGCCGTAGAACACACGGAAAGTCAGGACTTCTTGCACGTTCTGTTCTGGTAGGGTCTACGCCTCTCTCCCACGGAACTAACATCCTATCATGGCCCGTGTTCTGCTAATGCCACCCAGGCCTGCAGGTTTAGGGATCTATCTGTATCTACAGAATAAAAAGTACCAGGAGAAATAAATCAACAAAATAGGATTTAGGTCGAGCCA